TGAGAAGTCTCGTGGCGTTTATAAATGTTCAGATCTGACGATTGTAAATCTAATCCAAGGGTTGAGAATTGGTCTTACGGGTCTCACGAAAAACCATTGGTCTCACATGATCCCAAGTCTATATATATATATATATATATATATATATATATATATATAACAAATTTGTTAAAAATGCTCTAAAACTATTTACCATAAAAATATGAAAAATTACACCTTACTTTATTCTTTTTACACCGATCGATATCAAATCTCTTTTATATAAGGTTGATTTCTTTTGATCTAAAAAAGTGTATAGAATAATCATAAAGGTGGTGTATAATTGGTTTGAGCTTGAGCTTCAAAGATCAAAAGTGTTTGAATGTCTCAGGTTAAAATCCAAAGAGAAATAAAAATTCCCTTGTAACCATGAAGATTCATATGTGGTGACTTCAGACTACCTACAAAATAAGTGGTCGTTTTGTAATTAGTCGGTTCACATAATAAGTTGAATATCCAGATTAATAAAAAAGAAGTATATATATAATATTGATATAGATATGAAAAAGGAAAAAGGAAACTAAAATAACGGTTATTGAAATGGTTTAGTATCTTGTATGCGAAGGAATAAAAAAAACACAACAAAAATCACATGTGCAGGCAAGCCGACATTTATCCGTGTGCGCGTACGTATCGTATGCACATAGTAGTATAGTACCACCCTTTCTGCACTCTCAATATATAACCCCAATTATAACCCTTTCCAACTTTAAAGTTCCAATGTCGAGTCAAATGGATACTCCAAGCCCATCTTCTGACCCGAACTCAGACGGTTCCCACCCAAGTCAATCACCCAATCGGACCACCCGCTCAGACGATGGAGTCATACTCGCTTCAGCTAAACCCAAGAAACGGGCGGGTCGAACTAAGTTCAAGGAGACCCGACACCCTGTTTATCGAGGGGTTCGGATGAGGAATCCGAATAAGTGGGTTTGTGAGGTTCGTGAGCCAAATAAGAAGACCCGAATATGGCTTGGAACCTACCCGACTGCTGAGATGGCAGCCCGGGCTCATGACGTTGCTGCACTTGCATTACGTGGCAACCATGCTTGTTTAAATTTTGCTGACTCCGGTTGGCGGTTGCCTGTGCCAGCCACCACGGATGCAGCCGGCATCCGCAAGGCGGCAGCTGAGGCGGCGGAGGCTTTTCGACATGTAGATATGGAGGTCGATAATGGTGAAGAGAAGAGAGATGTGGTTGATGGTAAGTCGATGGTGGAGGGTGAAGCGACGTCGGCCACCATGGAAGCAGAGGCGGTGGAGGTGGAGGTGGGAAGTTATATGGATGAAGAAGCGGTGTTTCACATGCCTAGATTAATATCGGATATGGCAGCAGGAATGATGCTCCCTCCACCTTCTTGCTTAGGTGGATGGAGTTCGGATGACGTGGGAAGTCCACATGCTGATGTGTCGCTTTGGGATTTCTCATTTTGAATCTCTCTCTCTCTCTCTCTCACACACACGCACATATATTTCATACAGTGGCAATTCAATTAACCCTATACAATCATAACAATTAATTGAATTTATTAATTACAATTAATCTTCTTCTTTTTTTATGTTTGCTAGGTTCGGATTTGATAAATAAAATGTAGAAAATCGTTATTATTTATAAAATACTTTTTGTAATTGTAATAATTTATTAAAATTTTATTATTAAAGTAAAAAATAAATCATTAAGGGTGCGTTTGGTACGCTGGACAAGGTGGGAGAGGACATGACATAACACATTTGTCCTACGTTTGGTGTGGCTAAATGTGGAACTAAGTGGAACTAAGTTGGACAAGCATGAGATACGCATGTTCCACTATTATCCCTGAAACTAAGTGGAACACAACTTTTTCCCTCATTACCCCTTCTTCCCCTACCCTGCTCATCACCTCGCTTCCAGTTCCATTCCCCTTTTCATCCGCCTCCATCGCTTCCTTCATCAACTCCATCGACGGCGACCATCGACTCTTCTCTTCTCGACAGTTCCAATTGACGGTACCTCATCCGAGAGATTTTCTTGATTCAAAACCAGTTCCAATCGACGGTACCTCTCGACTCTTCTCTTCTCGACTGTTCCAGTTCCAATNTCTTCGAATTAGCAGAGGTTTGTGCTGAAAACCTAGATTTTCTTGATTCAAAACCATCTACTTGTAATTTCAGAGGTTTATCGCTTCTTCAAATTAGCAGAGGTTTATCGCTTTCGTTCTTGATTTCATCAAGTGGGTTTCTTGCAATTTCAACTAATTGATGACTATGTTCGCTGTTTTGTTGAATTCGTGAGCTGGGTTTGATGACTGTAGTTGTTCATATTTGCTGAAATGTGCCTGATTCAACCTCAATTCATCTTTACCTAAAATCTGATGCATCTTGTAGTTGTTCATATCTGCTAAAACAGCATCTGATTCATGTTTGTTTGCTGGTTTTTGATTAATGTTTCTACTGATTTAGAAGAACTCGACAGCACCTGATTCATGTTTGCTACTGCATTTTGTTTGTTGTTTTTATTCATGTTTGTTGTTTTTGATTCATGTTTGCTACTGCATTTTGTTTGCTGTTTTTATTCATGTTTGTTGTTTTTTATTCATGTTTGCTACTGCATTTTGTTTGCTGTTTTTATTCATGTTTGTTGTTTTTGATTCATGTTTGTTGTTTCTGATTGTTGTTTATGATTGCTCACTGGGGGTAAATTGGTCATTTTAACCAGTTCTGTCTTGTCCTGTCATGTCTTACCAAACGCTGAATAGCTGTCATGTCCTGTCCTACCCTGTCCTGTCCTGTCCTATCTGTGCACCAAACGCACGCTAAACCGTGGAAGCATAAAATATAAACCAAATTCAATTAAAATAAAATAAAACATTTAAATTATTAAATTAATGCTTATAAATCTCCGGACTCCGATGATTACGAACACATTTTAAACAAATTGTTTAAATTTTCATTTCTTTCAACGCTTAGAATAACTCGATTTAATTATAAAAATAAATATAAGAAAATTAAATGGTGACATCATTTAACTAAGAAAATGATACTAACAGAATTCAGAATAAGGTTTGGAGTGGAACAAAAGTCTTGCAAACCAACTATACCAAAGAAAACGTATTTTCATTGTAGTTTCAAAATATATACTATGTCACTTTTCACGACCCTAAATTTTTTCAACCTTTTGACGGAGGAATAATGCGGTGGCACCAAGCAGGGTTTGTCCCTGCATGCAGCTGCATTACTGGCACAACCCTAGGGCCGCTTCTGATGGCAAGGACCGAGAATATTGTTGTGTGAGAGGTATAACAAGTACCAAGAATCTTACCCAGTAAGTAAGGAATGATACTCTTATCAAGTAAGCACTTAACAGGTAAAAGACGTTTATCAACGAATTATTTCGATGGCCAATAATGTTATTCAATAAGGTAACTGAGAAATGTGACTCTTGGTGGCTAAATTTTACCCAGTAAACGTTCGGTAAAGGACTCCTTAGTCTTTATTAACTTTTGCCCTTTAGTTACTATGGTAGAGTGAATGTTCCAACCATTTGTGTTTTAATAATTTGGTGTAGCGCGCTCCATCCTAACACCGGGGCCTGTCATAATAACTCAAATGGCTATGCTTCGGTGAGAATCCCTTTGCTATTTAGGTGTATTTTTTGTTATTTAATAATATTGATAGAGGTACCGTCCTCAATCCAAAAAAATTATCCCCATTTAGATATTAATTGATTACTACATGCATTGCTATCGGAGAAGTATAAAAAAGTAACTTGATACATATATTTTCCTTAATCGATGGATGTTATTCATATTACATAAATGTTTCTTTGTTTTCTCTTGCCTCTGCTTCTCTATATTTCCTTCCTTGTTTTTTCTTTCCGATTTTCTCCCTACACTTGGTTTATGAACGGAGGAATGGCAACCCGATTCCATTCCAGCCATTTTGATTCTAAGTTGCCTCTCTAACTCCTCCAAAACCATTTCCGCCCCATGATTTCAGTTCCCTACCTCACACGTTCTATTTGAACGCATGATTCAACTTGCAAAATAGGTCTAGATTATGTTTACCTGTTTAGCACTTCCCTTTCCATGAAGTGCATAAATATTACTTACAGTATTTTTGACCTACGTCGCACGGTGTTACATGACACCTCAACGAACGTGTTTAACCCCATTTCCAATTAAGCCAATGACTTTGATAACTAACTAAGCATATATGATATAACCCCCCTTGCACTTCTTAGCTTTCTAGAAATGGCTTTATAATTAGCCCTTATCTTTGGCTTTAGGCATTTATTTGAGATGTTACGTATCAGATGTTTAATGTTGCTACACATGCTTATATTCAATGGTATTGACAAAGCCAGAGATGGAGTAGCAAGTGTACTTGTCCACTTCCAATTTCTTTAACCAATAAAATGTTTAAATTTTATAGTATAATGATTCAGATATTTCACCTCATTTTTTATAACTTTTTTGGCTTCGTTAACTCATTCATGATGCCCTGTCATCGGCCTCATATATCGCTACTGAACTAAAAAGTTATATATGTATCTTATATTAATTCATATTCTCACACGATCTTTTGTCTGATATAATTAGATTATATATAAAGTACAAAAAATAAAATAAAGATGCATACGGTCATAGATTTGGACCAGTATAGAATTTGATAATGCAGATCGAGTCATCGAGGCATTAATTGTTAGACAATTATTTAAATGGATAAATATTTTTAATTGCTTTTTTTAACAGAGGCGTCTATTTTATATGTCAATATGATTTTTTTCACTCATTTACTTTATCTTATATGTTATTTATTTTTGTGTTAAATAATTATCATATTAATCACAATATAACCGAGAAAATACCTTATTTTTCTATCTTATCATCTTTATAGCTACAAAAATGTCCCACTATATTTCTCGCAGGTCTCGGTTCCTTACCATATATAATAATTAAGATCCTTGGGTACATAATTTAATCGTGATTATAGTCCTTCAACTGGTTGCCATTATTCATTCCCCATGAAGAAGATACATAACATGTATTTCTATTTTGTAATTTATTTAATGGATATTTTTTTTTTGTAAGGGTGTCCGGGCCAAAACCCGACTAATCCCCGGCAAAATTGGAGGCTAAACATGACCCCACTTAAATGTCGCCAACACTCCCCTCCCAGGGCTCGAACTCGGGTTCATGACTATGTCATGCCCAAGCCTTTACCACTATGCTGGAAGGTCTTTGACTATTTAATGGATATTTATGGTGGTTTTGTAACCTTTTTTGTGTGCATAGATTATTACTTGCACATCTAAGTTTTTTATGCAATAAAGGGAGAAAATATTGCTACGTTTGGACATATTTGTAAGAGGCAGATATTGGCCCAATGTAGGAAGGTCAAGAGAGCAACAGTCGATGAGGTTACGAGATACAAACTGTGGAGGATGTGGGATGAGCAATTGAGATTGGAAATGACGACATTTTTCGAAGATATGACCTCAAGTAAGAGTTTGTGGAAAGGCAACACAAACGTGACTCATGTGTGGTTGGTGTTAGTACCGCTAGATATCAGTTTCCTAGGATAGGTAGGGGCTTCCTTTGGGAGACAAGTAGCCTTTTATGAAAGCTTAATTGATGGGGTTTTAGGTCATACATTCATTCATGTTCTTCTATTTGTTCTTACATTAATCTTGCTTTCTTTGTGCCAATCTGTCAGTTGTTTTTTGCATATATTTTTTCTGTAAACGCAGGTTTTCTTTGAAAGAATCTCTCTACTCCTTGGTACCAGTTATTTATCGAATTCGATTCACATTATTGAGCCATTCGTTTTAATGTTGATGCAACAGTGGGAGAATCATCACTTGTCATAGCCATACGACTCGATGTGTTATCTGTTTTCAATGCAATATGGATTTTCAAAAAAATTAAGCGAAGTATATTTTAGAAGTCTCTATTTAACTGATATTCACATGACAGACGTTAATATCTAAACCTTTGATTAGCAATTTAATCTTGTTTTTTAGTTTGGGCATGCCAAAGATTTTTTCTTATCTAGTTGTTGTCATAAATTCGGTGTTCACTAAAATTCCAATTACGGTTGAACTCAAAATGTAACCGTATTTATTAATGCAAACATTTTTTTGCTCCCACATACACATGTATACATACACACATATAGCCTCTCGTGCAATTGTACGTGGTCCTACAACCTATATTAATTTCGTGTCGTCCTATCGCATCAAATTTAATACGATGACAATAACACAATTGTACAACGAGATTGTCGTACCAAAGGTAAATATGGTAATTTAATGAAATTATTACCTTTTTTTAATATCTAGATCACCAAATATTTTAAGGCTCCTTCCACAATCTGTCTGCATTGTAATTTCTTTTTTTATTCGATAGATAGCGTTTAAGAACAAAAAAAAATTGAACTGATGCCTAAAAGTTATATTTTTTTGGGTTCAGATTTTAATTCTTTTTTTTATTAACCTGGACATCCAACGCGCTATGTGAGCCGACTAATCCCAGAATGACCGCTTGCTTTGCATATAGTCCGAAGGCACCGCATTTGAACCTCCGTGGCCACAAAAGGGATTTTTATTTCTCCTTGGATTTGAAATTGGGACCTCCAGGTACTTTTGACATTTGGAGCCAAGCCCAAACCAATCAGGCATCACGCTTGTGGTTAATTTTTTTTAACCATTTCTCGATTTGTGCGTGTCATCATTATGCAGGGGCCATGCTAATCTTCTCTGTATCGTTCCAATTTTATCGGATGTCCCCAAAGGGACTTAACTCTTATTAATATGGAACAAGCAATACATTTATTTGGCAAAATGTAACCAAATTTGTATGTTTGTTTATAAAATTTTGAAAAATGCTATTGGATTTTCGAGAACGTTTGCTTAAGACCATTTTATGTACAATTATAATGAATGAATTGAGCATGCGAATATATGGTTGTCATCTCTTCAGTAGCTTGTATCTTTTTAACGTATATGAAACTACGAGTGCTATCTGAAACCACATTTATATAATAAACATATATCTTAATTAGATAAATCTTGTCAAGTAGATAGACAATGATCATATTTTTTATATCAAATAATTATAAAGAAACTAAATAAAAAGTAAAAAAAATACAAAAAAAAATCTTGTATAAACATTTTACTTTATAATTATTTTTTATATAACGTCAAAATAACTCATCCATCATTCTGCAACTTTTGAAATTCATGAAATAACTCATCATTCTTTTTATTTAAGTTTTTAAATATTGAAAGAATAATCTATTTGTTATTTATCAATAATCTATCGGTACTCATCACTTTTTATCAAAAAAAATCGTCACAATTTGGTTTTAATTATTCTTTATATTTGTATTCTTGTTTAAAACAACATATTATTTTTATCATAAATATTAAATATTAATACAAAGAAACAAAAACAAAATATAAAAAATAATGATAAAATTAATTTTAGATAAAAAAGTATTTAACATAATACTAATTGAAGATTCACAATAATAATAAAAGTTTGATTAAATGAAATAAAAATAATGATGATTATAAATAAAAAATAATTAAAATACAAATAAATTTGTTGATATAATTATTGGATTATGATAAATAATTGGTAAAGGAGTGTTTTAACATGTAGGTGGGGTGACCCTTTTTAAATTATTGTAATACAGATAAATAATAATTAATTATTAAAGTTTACATGAGACTTAAAAAAACTAAGTTTGAAATTTCATAATGGTTAGAACAAAACCTAGTTGATTAGAAAATCTTTTTTATTATTAGAAGGGTTTTCGTGTAATGCAGCGAGATACATATTAATTTTAATATTTCATTTTATTCTTTATCTCAGTCGATATTTTAATATGCTCTTATGTGATTTTGAAAAAGCGACGATGTTTTTAATTTTGAATAAAATATAAATTTGAATATATCATAAAAAATTGACAAAAATATATAGATATTAGTATCAAATTAACTATTTAAAATTTCTCATATTTTGTGTAATTTTTTAATTCAAATTTTTGTTATAATTTAATTTAGGTTCAATAACAAAATAATTTATATTTAGTTTGATAATATAATTTTCTTATAAAGATAATAATTAATTATTTTATTAGAACTTGATAATTATCTTAATTATATTTTAGATTTTTTATATTTAAAAATGAGATGTTTATCTTCTATTTGATTATGTTTATCCGCAGTTAGTTACACGAATTCAAATATAAAGCTTTAATAAGTTGTATGTATGCATAGTTTACTTGTAATCTTGAATTTTAAATAATATGCATCAATATAGAGTATTTTATGCATAAAAAATTGTTTTTAAGAGTTTTTGTCAAATGCTTTATAATATAGTATAAATATCATTGACTCTTAACAATAAACACTTACCGAGTAAGCATTTAAGTAAACAGCCCCTAAACCACATCACAAATATCTTCATTTTAACATAGATATTAAGTAAAATTTCTTTTATATCTTTAGAATTTGTAAAACAGGTCTGTTGGAGATAAGCAATAGTAGGTGCACCGTGTTGTATAAATTCGGATATTTACGAACATTAATTAATGAAACTCAAGGATTCAAATTACAAGCCATTCCCCCCTTTTCAACACCCAACCAATCGTCATTCCTATCTCCTCCCTCCATTGCCATTGCTGCAAATTTCTCTCTCTCTCTCTCTCTCTCATTGAGATCTTCAATTGGGATCCTTGTTAATTAGAGCTTGATCATTCTGTCTCACCCTTTCAATGGCTTCCAGAGCTTCATTTACTGATGATTCGAGGATGATCAAGAAGACAATGCCAAAATCTCTGCTGCTCAGGGACTATTTACTCGATGATATGAGCTCCTGTTCTTCCAATGGCTTCCGCTCGTATCCTCGTCGTCAATGTTGCACCACTGTTCGATTCCTGGTGGAAATTGATCTTAACAAAAACAGTAAGCTGCCTTCGAAGCAGCGACGACCGTCGACTGTGGAAACCAAACCAAAACAATTGTCGGTGCTCCAGAGAGCTTCTGCTGTGATGGTTAATGCATTCAAGCATTTTCCCTTCGCCGGCGCTAGGAATTCTAGGAAGACTAATTTTCTGCCGAGGAGTCTCTCTCGGAAGCTCTTGAAGCATGGCTTCTGGAAGAAAACCGATCATAACAACGAGATCAAACGGTTGAAATCGTTTGGCGATTTGATCAAAGAGAAGGAAACTCCTCCGCCTCCATCACCGTCGAAATTCTCAACCGCCGTTACGACCACAACCACGGCGGAGCTCACCAGCTCAACGAGCAACAGTAACAGCGACAGCTGGTCCGATAGCGACTTTACCACCACCACCACCACCACCACTGACAGCTTCACCACAGGTAATTCTTCGGATGTTAACACATCTCAAAACGACGTCGTGAATGATATACAGGAGAAAAAGAAGATAGCAAACGGAAAGGGCGTTGGAGCAACCGCCATGGCCACCACCTATTCTTCCACTACCGAAAACGTAAAGGTGAGACCTAATTCAATGCTTAGTACCCCACAATAACACCATGTAGATTCTGTTTCCCACCTTCGATCACTTCATCCTCAAATTTCTTAAATAATATGAATTTAATTAATCGTAATTGGTACGATTCGAATGCTCTGTTAAAAATTAATTTAAAAAACACAAAATTAACAGAAAACAAGATCATTATTTATTAGTTTGCTTGTAAATGAGCTTAGATGATCCTGCCGGAAACCTGATGTGTTTTTCCTACCGGTTACCGGAAAGTAGTGAATTTGAAAGGCAGATTCAAATTTGAATTATTATAAAAAAAATTAATATTAGGAGATAGAAGCATTAAATTCTCACAGCAATGAAGGAGGAGGAAATACAGTCATTAACTTTACTTTATCAACTCACGTGGTTTTCAAGTTCTTTGCATCCACGCCGTAGATTCTGCTTACGTGTAATTTCGTGGCGGAATCCACGCCGTGAAATTTGATGAAACAATGCAGTATAGAATGGGTGTTTGTAATAGTAAATCATTTCTTTAATTACTAAAACGCCCTCCTCCTCTTCCTCATAACATTGGACCCCCTCCTCCACTAAGTACCAATAATTTGTATGGTATACACAATTACTAACTTGAATAAAATTAAGGGTACTTTCGGAAATTAGTAGTGTGGTTTAAGCTTTCATGTCGGCGACCATGCGTGTCACATGCATTAAAAATGTATTTCCTATAAAAAACAATTATAGTGATTTTTATTTAAGCTTTTTATACACATATTAATATAATGGTAGAATAAAACGAGAGCATGGCTGAAATCTCACGTGATTATAGAACATAAGTAATACAAGGTGTGTGAACGACTCCGGCTGACAAGATTGCATGTCGTCATATGTGAATTTTCATGTAAGTTTAATATAAAATCACATTTGATTAGTCGTTCTCGTGTTTTTTTATTCATTATCGTTCTCATTTAAACCCCGATTTTGTCAATATATTATATTTTTACGCTAAGTACAATTTAGGGAAGAAAAAAAAAAGAATATGGCCAAAATAGTCAATCTCTCAACCAAGTCATTTTTGGAATCGAATGTTTATTTTAGTCCGAGTTCACACAAATGTTTTATACATTTGCATAAAACTTATTTTCAGATAAAAAAAATTATTTATGTAAATGGGGATTCTTACACAAATTTATATAAAGATTTTTTTTAATCTAAAAATTGAATTTACGAAAATCTAGCTAAAATAAGAATTTAATTGAAAAAAATGAATTTTATAGGAGAGATTTGTTATTCGGGTCAATTCCCCTCGTTTGTCCCTAACATAGGATAGACAATCAGTCTAGTCTCGTCCATTCCTATCATGTCATGTCTGTGTACCAAATGCTACCTAATTATCCATCATAGCAAGTGTATTTAAGTAACATTTAATTTTTATTGTTAATGATTTCATTTATTAAACCATCTATTATGATTATATATTAAAAAGTTTATACATCAAATTGTTAAATCTTGTTTAGGAAATAATCGAGGTTAATTATGGAAACAAATCATATCATCATGGGCGATATAGAAAACTTGTTCAAGTGTAATTGACAACATTTTGACATATGATGATAAGATTATGACTTGTAGCGAAATATTTGGACTTATAAAGATTCCCAAATAATCTTGAATAAGCTTTACTTGTTTAATATATGCTAATACCTTTTACGTTTGCTTTTGTTTATTGTTAAAATGATATTAATCATAGGACAAGCAGCAAAACGATTTGGTTGAGCAATTTAGTCCTGTTTCTGTGATGGATTTTCCATCTAATAACGACAATGATGTGGCTGGTGAAGATGAAGATGAAGTTTCTTCGATATTCCAACGTAGACATTCTAATGTTGAAGGTTGATCTTTCTCTCTTTGTCGTTTTATTTTCTTGGTAGCAAAACTTATAATAGAGTTATTATGTGATTTTCCAGGAACAAAAAGATTGATGCATAAGACTCGAAGAATTGAGGGTGTTCCTCAACTTGAGCCTATCAAATTAGAGGATCGGATGACTAGATTGGTTGTTGAACCAACACATGCATGTCATGAGTTTGAACAAGAAGATAAACAACTTGAAAATAAAGCAGTTGCATTACTTCAATTGATGATATCAACAAATTCTCATCGTTTTTTCAAATCTGAAGCCGTGAAGAGCCTCTTATTAGGGTTTTTTAAAGAGAGAATGTTTGAAGAAAACATATCAGATTATGAAATGTTGCATACAACAAGAGAGTGGATGGACGGTCAAACACAAGAGTTGTTTTTAGATTGGGAGTCTCAAAAGAATAGGCAAACGTATGCTAGAGCAATGGAGAAAGGTGTGAAATGGTCAGATTATGGTGAGGAAGATGAGAAAAAGGATATTGGTTTGGAGTTGGAGCATGAGGTTTTTACTTCACTCGTCGATGATATTTTGCTAGATTTTCATCTGTAAGTGTTTGGCATTTGGAATTGAGATTTTCAATTGGGAAAGTTTCGTTCTTATATGCCAAATGGTCATGCTACAACTTGTAGAGACCAATGTTTTGAACGTCAAATTAGAGTATTTTAATCTGTTATGATAGAATATGTTGAATTTTCAAACTATCAGTTGTTTGTCAATTAGTTGAAGAGATTTTGCTACCATTGCTTAGCGTTCCATTTTTGCACACCAAATATGTCGATGCTACAATTGATATACACCAATCTTCTTAGTGTCAAATCATCGTTATTGATCATCTACGCTTGCTTGAGTTTTTAATTTGCAATTGATCTTGGACGTTGGAACACACACACTCATCACGAAGGCATATATTGTAGAAAAATCGATCATACAATCTTGAATACAACCCAGAAAAACAAGATCGAATCAAGCAAAAAAGTAGTCGATAATTACCCAAGAACCAAATATGAACTCAAACGTGTTGATATGTTGAAAATAATAAACCTGAACTCTCGTCGGAAACAATAATCAACACACAAGATATAAAACGTATCTTGATGGAATTAATAAGAGATAGAAACGACATCAGATTTACGTAATACCCCAAAATTTAAAAACATGTAAAATACAAGGACTGGGCATTATAAAATTTTGAAAATGAAATATCGGGGATGATATAGAAAAAACCAAAGATCGTGGACTAATTTGGAAGTGCCTGAAACACGTTAAAAAAGAATGTGCAATGGAAGTTGCGACTTTGAAGGGTGAAGGGTGGCAACTGTATGGAGAACAATTGGCAAGGGAAATGATAGAGTTCATTCGTCATATGTGCACATGTTATTGTTTAGGTGCGAGAAAGCAAATGAAATTGAGATTGATATGGTTAAGTATGACTCTATGAGCACACTTGTTCAACGGCAAACCTTCTGCTCGTCGGTTTATTCAACCTTAGATTCCAACACAAAAATAGAACTCGGCGCAAGTATACACCTCGAACTATTGTCGTCTCGTAACAAGTAATAATGGTAAAAAGTACCAGATTTATCGTTCCCATAGAGATAGCTTGTAAAGTTCATTCAAAAAGTCCAGTTTATAAAAACTAATTTCAGATGGCGAAACGAGAGATTTGATTTATCTAAAACGAGGAGGTTTGATTATCAACTAAGAAAAATATCAGTCGTAAAAAGAAGCACAKGGTGCAACAGTTGATTAAGACTTTAAACAAATGATTCAGTAAAAAGGTGACATAGCATTCCTGTCATAATTATCTAAAATCAAGAAATGATTTTATATTACTATGACAGTATCAACTATCGGGTCAGACGGCCTCCCAAGAGCACACACCGGTCAACGTGCTATCGATACGATATCATTTATGTTAGACGTCGTGAATCCTAGCACAACACGGTGTTACCATCCTACACCGTAGGAGTATAGCGTTTGTCAGACACTAAAGCTATTTATAGCCTTCTCCTATTACCTCAGGTCTTGAAAGTCAATACATTTTTATACACAAAATTAGTTGTCAATTAATTTTAATGTAATCATCAAATGAAATATTAAGCACCTGAAATAAATAGCAGACTATAATGCTAATAAGACACCTTTGTACTTTCACATCGGTTTTGGTCTTAATTTCCCGTTACACCCCAAGCTAAGGCGTTAGCCCATCATCGCTCGGTTTCTTCTCTCGAAGGATGTAAGGATTAAAAAGTAAATAACGGAGACGGAAAAGTAAATTGCAGAAAGTAAATTACAGGAAATGAAAATGCTGAAATTTAAAGTACTAGAATTTAAATGACTGAAATATAAATGACAGAAATATAAATTGCAGAAATGTAAAGACAAAAATGTAAATTGCAGGAATGTAAAGACTGAAATGTAAAGGACTGAAATATAAATGACATAAATATAAAAGACTGAAATGTAAATACTGAAATATAAATGACTGAAATATAAATACAGAAATATAAAGACAGAAATGTAAATTACAGAAATGTAAAGGACTGAAATATAAATGACATAAATATGAATTATTAATAATTAAATAATATTAATTATATTAATCTAATAATAATAATAATAATAACAATAATAATAATAATAATAATAATAAAAAGGAAAGTACATATTGGGAAGACAAATTCTTTGATGGATGAATGATGGATGGATGATGGATGAATGATGGATGAATGATGGATGGATGATGGATGGATGATGAGAAAACCTTGGGAAACGTGAAAGAAAACTTGCAAGTCAAGTAACGTAACTTGTAAAACAAGTTACGTTACAAAAAGCCGTAAAGTTACTTGTAAACTTGAAAACGCGATTTATTTAGATTACRTAATTTATAAACGATAAAACGTAATATAACTTGGAACGAGAAACGAGATGAAGATTGAAAGATGAGTACTTAAAATAAACCTTGAGAAAGAAATTACAACTACAAAGATCGAATCGTGAAAAGTTAACGAGAACCGAAGGCTKAGAACCGAAAGTAATATTCTTGGGAGCAACTTACAAAAGATTATACATAAATCTCCCAAAAGTATTTGTGAATTAGAGAGTTGGTTACCAAAAAAGTGTGAATTGGTGAATTAAAACAAAGCTTAAGGCATGTATTTATAGTCCAAGGAAGGTCCCAAAGTGGGTGCCAACTAATAAGACAAAAAGCCTCTTCAAAGCTGGGCTTTGACTAAGCCCAAGGGTGTTGACCAAGCCTTCTTCTTGAATTAGCCCATTAATCCACGGCCCAAGCAGTTTCCAGCTCTCGGACAGGTCCTATAGGACCTTGCCACTCCTGGTCCTATAGGACTGCTGCAGGACCGGTCCCAAAAATGCTCAAAAACCTGCAAAAACAGGGGATTAACATTAGATATATAATATAACTACTAATATATGAAAAAGATATAAAAAGACTCAATTAGGACACTAAAGGGCAAATAAAACAACGGAAAATGGTTAAGAAAATGATGTAATAAGGTTAATAAATTAACACTYATCACACCCCCAAACTTGAATTGTTGTTTGTCCCCAAACAACAGAAAATGACAAATTAAAAGACTCAAAGTTCTWAAAAAAAATGAGCATAAACATTCCATAGCCAAAATATGCATTTTTCTGAAAATTTTTGAATGAAAGTGTTATACTCATGACTTGATGCTTAATATCCATAGCCCTTCATAAACCTAGCTCMCCCAAACTTAAATCTTTCATATTACCAAACCATAAGCTAGCCTACATTTCTTTTGCTATACTAGATTCAACAGATAGATTGGGWCTTTGAATTGGGTTTTGCATTTGGCTTTTTCTTTTCAATGCATGCCTTTTACCTCATCTCACTTTTTCACTCCATAGCACAATTTTACTGCTATGCATCTCATATTGAGGTATTTTGGACACTGTGGTCCTTTTTCAAACATTCTGGTGTACATTGACACTCTTTTGTATGCACAAGACATGGAACTATGTTCCTTTGTTTGTCTTTTGGTCTTAATGCATATGTTTTCATGATGTATAAGGTGTTTGGTACTTTTTAGGACCCTCCCCCAAACTTAAGGGAAACAATGTCCTCATTGTAAGTGTATGAAGGCTACAAATTGGCCAAAATGAAATAAAGGCCCAAGTTGAATCAAGTGAAAGCATTGGAAATGGTTGGCTAGTTCTAGAGGCTCAAATTAAGACAAAGATGGTTAGGCTTTGGATTATTGTGGCTATGGCATCAATTCAAGCATTTATACAGCAAATTCATCTTTTATGCTATTTTTGGTACATATAAGGCTAAAGGAAGATATGCTACTCAAAATCAGTGCCCAAAATCCTAAGATGAAACAGAAAAGCAAAGATGAGAAGTCACAAGTGTGACTTGGTCATTTTGTGAAAATAAAAGGACTCAAAGACTCAAAATAAAAAAATTTAAACAAAACCAACAGTCCAACTCTAAGTCAAGTTGACCCTAGAGTTAAGATGTGGTACAAAGGATGAGCTTTGAATCAAAACAGTCAACCAGAGGACTGTAGTATCAGACAAGATTACCATATGAATCCAAACAATGGGACTGCCATTGTTTTGCCATGAAGAAGATCAAAATAGAACAGGACAATGGGAGTGCCATTGTCCTCTCATGATACATCCTAAACTGTATTTAGCATTGAGGAGGAAGGTAAGCAAATNTGCAGGACCGGTCCCAAAAATGCTCAAAAACCTGCAAAAACAGGGGATTAACATTAGATATATAATATAACTACTAATATATGAAAAAGATATAAAAAGACTCAATTAGGACACTAAAGGGCAAATAAAACAACGGAAAATGGTTAAGAAAATGATGTAATAAGGTTAATAAATTAACACTCATCACCTTCACATGATGAACTATTATAATCCAACTTTCAGGAGTCGAGACAACTTAAAAAATAATGACATGATTCATTCAAATCTAACTTAAAATCACAAACTCAACAACAGGATTTTGTACATCAAATATCAACCAAGCTGATAAAACAACATGGTCCATAAATGCCCAATATCTGACAATAAATCATATTCAATTCAAAACCCAAAATTATAAACCAATCGATAAATTCAAAATCAGAAAAACTAAATTTGAACCCTAAATAAAATCAAAAACTGAATTTGAACCCTAAAGGTGTCTTTCATCGAGTGAGGGTTTGAACAGATTCCATAAAATGAAGAACAGATGAGGGAGGAAACCACAAAGGAAACCCATAAGATGCAATTTGAGCGATATCCATGTTCCTTCATTTTTCCTTCCGTTTGTGACCCATCCGCTCACCAACGAGAAAGTCCAAATCTGCTTCTGTTTGTCACCATCCCTCCCACCGATGGTGGTTGGAATCACGACTGCAATTTCTGAAGTTGGGAATCGGATAAGTAGTCCTCGTTGACGTTACTGTTTCTGAAGTTAGGAGAGATAAAGAGAACAACAAGTGGAGAGCAAAGATCCTCGCAACTTCTACGCCGCTCGTGCGTCTACGACGACGTCGACAGTGGAGGAATTCGACGAAGCCAGTGCATGTGTCATAGAGCTTCAAGGGATGGAGGAGGTGGGAGCTTCAAGTTATACAGGCGACCATTGATTGAGAAAAAGTTGGGAGAGGGGTGGTTGCGAAAAAATAAAGGCTGAATACAAACGACACAAGCTATTTAGTTGCGCAATTCATCCATGGTTGATCGAATAAGCCCATTTTGAACAGCTAGATATGGTTGTGCGAATAAGCCACATAGCTTATACAACCATTAAGTCGCAACCAAACAGCCCCTAAGACTAGCTACATCTTCTCTATTCCCTATGAGCCTTCAGTTTTGAACTGCATGCTATAATCAGAACTTCACTCACCGTGTTCATGGTTTATATAAAATTTATCTCCTAAAAGAATTTTAAATCATTATTTATATAGTAGTAAGATATTCATCATGAATATACGTTTTCACTATAGCATTCATCATGAATATACATACTATTCATCATGAATTTATGTATAATGACGTATATACAACAACTATCTAATATTCATATTAGTATATGATATTTACAAAAAAAAAATATTGATTTTCATCGTAATATTCGTCATGAATATACTACAATTTCAACTCTACATACTCTAGTTTTTCTTTATTTTTCTTTATTGGGTTCTCGATTGATCTTGATGAGTTCTCGTTCATCTCAATAGGATTACTAATTCATCTCGATAAAAGCTAAAAATGGTAAGTTATAGTTTTACACAAACAAACAAATAATAAATTAATCGACAAGTACCTCAATCGGTCTCGATGACAATTTAAAGGTGTTAGGTTATGATTTTACACACACCACACACCAAGTCAATGGATGGGTTATTGATTAGTCTCGTTTGGTCTAGAAGGGTTCTTGATTAGTCTCGATAAAAGATGAAAGTGGTAGACTATGGTTTTACACACGTAATAAATCAATCAGTGGGTTTTCGATAGAAAATGAAGGTGGTAAGTTATAGTTTTTAGTCACAAAGTCAATAAATGGATTCTTGACGGGTCTCAATATGATCTCGATCGGTCTCCATAGGTTCTTGCTCGATCTTGATGGGTTCTCGATTGATCTTGATCGATGTTGGGTCATATTGATGAAGAACATGGTGTCATATTACGTACTTGTAACATTGAAGAAAGTATTGAAGAAAATGATGTCGAGTTACGGACTTACGGTGTCGAACTATTGTGTACACATGAACATACATGAATATTTATATTGAATATTACACATATATAGCATTCACATAAAAACCTGTTAAAACTGGGAAAAAAAATACTAAATCGAGATGGATATCATATTAAAGGAAATGAGATTCACATTTTTTTTATATAATTTGTTTATTAAGAATATTATTAATCCTTAAGATAATTTAGTTCAAAATAAGGAGGTAAATTTTTTTAATTATAAAATAAAAGAAGAATTCATATCATTAAACATGAATAATTTAGGGGTTATACATGTGTTCTGCAAAAATATCGAGCCGACGGGGTCAGGTACCAGTAGTGACAATGGCAATGACCCGTCTTACCGCGGCTGCTGGCACGGAGTTAGCCGGGGCTTCTTCCGCGAGTCCTCCCTCCAGGTATTTCTAAGTTATACTGGAGATTTGATTCAGGGGCTTAGTGAGTGTTTGAAGCCTCTTATCTCTTAAAGCTCCAGCAAGGTCCTGGTTTGATGGTTGTATGTGCTAAAAAATCCAACTGAATTCAGTCAATCTCACTACGAATCTACGGAAGTCCCTCCAACTCAATCAATATCAACAACATGTCGTGACCGGGTTCTGACACTTGTTTGTGCTGCAATAAGAGTTGTACACGTATTACTAGGGGGGTGTTGGGGATTGCTCAGCAATCTTTGTTTGTACCCCTCTAGCTAGATATTTAAAGTGCTTATTGACTTAGTCTGATGTAGTATCAGTGATAAATAATTTTTAGTGTTTGAATGAAAAAAAAATGTTTATACCGGTGTCAAATGGGTAATAAGAAGTTTTTGATAAGTTACTCTCATCTAACTTATCAGAAACACCTTATTAGCTTTGAAAACCAAATTATACTTTTAACCTTTTCTTTTAACCCTCTAACTCATCCCATGTGATTGCCAACAACCATGTCCTCAGGCTTCCCCGGCGGTCATCCAGACTACTCACGAACCAATTCCTCCTTCCTCACGAACACAGTTCACGACCTTCACTTATAGAAATCAAAATTGACCTTCAATGCAAGAAATGGAAATCGAACATAGAAATCGACCTTCACCTACAGAAATCAAAATCGACCTTCAAGTACAAGAAATCGAAATCGAACACATAAATCGACCTTCAYCTACAGAAATCAAAATCGACCTTCAAGTACAAGAAATCGAAATCGAACACATAAATYGACCTTTACCTACATAAATCAAAATCGACCTTCATCTACAGAAATCGAAATCAAAATCAAAATCGACCTACAGAAATAGAAATCATACAATGTAAGAAATCAAAATCATACGATGCAAGAAAATGAAATCAAAATCGTGAAGACGAGAGGAATAGTCTGCCACCTACTTGGGCCGTCGTTGGTGGCATAAGAAGAAAAAATCATCTCCGGTATAGGAGAAGAACAGTGGCGATGAGAGGAGTGGTTTCAATTGATTAGGAATATAAAAGAATGTCTTTTTGGACATTTTACATGTATAAGCAAAATTAGTCAAACACTAAAAAATAATTTATCTGCTTATTACGTTTTGGTACCATCATAAGTTAATCCAAATTATAAACTCCGATTTAATACCATATAAGTTTACAAGCACTTTTAAAAAAAAAAAGCATAAGGGGGCGTTTGGTTCGTAGATTCTGAAGGAATCTGATGGAATTGAAATGTTAAATTTCATTGACTAAATTCCATTCCCTGGTTTGGTTCATTCTTTTTCATGAAAGAAATCTTGAAAATCCTAAGAATTCCACAAATAAATAAATTGAACATTCGTTAGCAACTACATGGTCTTTGATGAAATAAAATTCTCTATTTTCATAATGCCAAGTACGCCCATAACCTGATATACCCTAATCTCATAAAGCCTAATATGACCATAGCCGACCACCTTCGACCACCATCAATCTGAATCACCGCCGGCCACCGCCATTTGAACCACTACCGACCACCACCACCACCACCGACCACCACTGATCTGAACCACCGCCGACCACCACGTATCTGAACCACCGCCGACCACCACCGATCTGAACCACCACTGACCACCACGTATCTGAACCACCGCCGACCACCACCGATGACTACCACCGATCTGAACCACCGCCGACCACTGTCGACCACCACCGATCTGAACCACCGCCGACCACCGCCGACCACCACCGATCTAAACCACCGCTGACTACCACCGATCTGAACCACCGCCGACCACCACCGATCTGAACCACCGTCGACCACCACCAATCTGAACCATCGCTGATCTGAACCACCGTCGACCTCTACCGATCTGAACCACCATCGATATGAACCACCATAGACCACCATCAATCTGAATCACTGTCGACCATCGCCATATGAATCACCACGGACCACCATCGATCTGAAACCACCGCCAACTACTACTTATCTAAATCACCGTCGAGCACCGCCGATTTGAACCACCGCCGACCATCACCGATTTGAACAACCACCGATCTGATCCACCGTCGATCTGAACCACCACCGGTCTAAACCACATCCAACCATCACCTCCTGAAGCACCACGGACCACCACCGATCTGAACCAGTGCTGACCACCGACGTCTACCACCGATGTGAATCACTGCCGACCACCGGCGACTACCACCGATCTGAATCACTGCCGACCACCGCTGACCACCAACAATTTGAACAACCATCGATCTAAACCATTGCCACCACCGTCGTTCATCTGAACCACTACTGACCACCTCCATTTAAAGTAGAGATGGCCAAATGGGCTCGACCCGGGACCAGCGGAGGACCGAGACCGGGACCGACTAGGACCAGCCTGACCTGGGACCGATTGGGACCAGTTTGGACCACTGGTTATGGTTTTCATCCAAAGGCCCGTAATTTATATGTATTTTTAAATGTATTTCTAACTTTCTAAGTGTATTTGATTGAAAATCAAATTACAAATTTACAATAAAACATATTTTTTAATTGTATTTGATTGAAAACCAATTATAACACTATAATAAAACATGATTTTTAAGTGTATTTGATAGAAAACCAATTATAAAATTACAATAAAACGTATTTTTTAAATGTATTTGATTGACCTAATTAGATATTTTAAAGTGTATTAGAATAACATTGAAGTATTTTTAAATTTTTATCAAAAAGAAATTTAAAAAAAATATAAAAAGAAAATGTTTTTTTTTTAATATGGACCGGGACCGGTTACAAGTACATTTAACCGGGCATTAGTATTTCTGACGGGACCGTTTACAGCGAATCGATTATGAGCATCACTGTTCCGGCCCGGGATCGGCTTCGGCCTGTTCCGGCCCGGGATCGGCTTCGGCCAGTCCCGGTCCCCCTGGACCGGATTTTGGCCATCACTAATCTGAATCACTGCGGATCACTATCGATCTAAACCACTGTGGACCACTGTGGACCACCGCCGACAACCGTTGATTTATTATCATGATTTGGTTTATGGTTATATTTGGGTTGTATATTTTATTTTGTTTTACATATTAAATAATTATTCTATTAAAATACTTTTAGTTTTAAAAAAATTAAAATTTTCAAAAAAGAGCATTTTGATCATTTATCAATATTTCATTCTAATTTCAAAGTTGTATTATATGAACCAAACGGACAAATTCCAATTCCTTGACAAATTCTATTATAATGTCGGTCAACCAAATAGACGATCAAACCTGACAAAATCCTATTCCAATTCATTCGAAATCAAATCCAAATAACAAATTTTATTCAATAAAAAATCATTGAGCAAACCATTAGCTCGAGTACATCTCAAACACCCCCGCTCTGAGTAAGTAGTTTCAAGCTTCAACTAAGCCCAATCCATTAGCCCCAATACATCTCGGATCAAAATCAAGGATCAAGTAAACAAAGGCGCAAACTCTTTCATGCGTTTCTTTGGGGAAGAACAGACGAAGGCAGAGATACCAAGATGTGGAAATCATGAAGCACTTGTGACAGATTCAAGTTTTTCAATTTCTCTCTACTAAAGAATCCAAGGGGGTATCGAATTTTCTTTTGAGTTTATCCGATTCACAAATCGAAATGGTAATCCCTAATCATGCTTTCTTTACGTTTACTTCAGAGAAGATGGAAAGGAATTAAACTAAAGAAATTCGAACGTAGCTGCGTCCTTGAACGAGTAGTTTTCATGTATATATTTCAAAATTGTTTTGTATGCCCAGGATTTGTTCAGGAAGGTAATAACACAACCCGGAAAACCAGAAGATTTTGCTCTTCAAACAGTTCAAGAAGCTATCAAACCCCAGGTATGCTTCTTAACCCCCCTTTTTTGTATGTACCCTTTTCCGGCTTCCCCAATATGTCTTTGAAGTATGGCATTAGCTTTATTATTAGTTATTTGATTGGTATATCTTCATCATTTACGTCTCTCAATCTCTGAACTTTGTTCTTGTAGAAATTCCATACATGTTGATTGTACATAACTGGAACTATAGAGTACATATTTTGAAGCTATTTTTGGACATTGTTGATGCGTATCAATGAGAGTATAATGGGAGTTGGGTGAAACTAAAACATTGGGAGATATTTGATTATTAGGTCTAGATAAGATATAACTATTGGGTATCTACTATTTTTTAAGCTTTTAGATGAGCCGGTGCATAGACACAGTATCAGAGCTTAAGTTCTGCAACATATCGTGTCCCAGTCTTCTGGCATACCCCACCCTAACCCTTACGTAATTAGTGCAGTTTACACTCTTTAATTTTTTTTTCCATCTACATGACTCTATACGTGCAAGTGGAGATTAACTTGAAAGGGAGTGCTTAAAGAAGGATATTTTAAATTTGAAATGTCTTGCATCATAATCAAAATGGGAAGTCCTTATCTAGTTCTGCACTCCTACATGAAAGAGTCTTCTTCAGTTGGGGGAGCGGGAGCAAAGCTCGTGTTTTGGCTTTACAACATCTTTGGTAGATAGATGTTTTCACTATCCTTATCCGTTGAGTGTTCTATATTTGAGTTGGTCCTAGTAGGATTACATATGTATTTGAGCTTGCAAGTACTCCATGTGCATTAGGGTTAAATGCAAAGCACATCGCCTTTTCTTTTTTATTTTGTATTTTTCTCTATATGGTTGTACTCATTTGCCATTGGCTTGTACATAGCCCTATCTGGTGAATCTTTAAAATCTATATGTTTTCACTCTTAGTGTCATCTATCCACATAAACTTTTAAATGAGTAGATGAGCTATAGTTAAGCTCCTCATTGGAAAGATAAGATAAGCCTACGATTATGGCATATAAGTCCATTTTTAAGGAAAAAATTGAATTTGACTCTTGGTCATAGATTTGAATTACATCCATCAAAATGGAGTGTGCTTTGAGTTTTATTTAGTGCATTGAATAAATTGATTGATTAGTTTTAAGTATACCCCAGAAGGATAGTTTTAAATATCTTGGTTCCATGACTCAGAAAGGGGGTGAGGTCTAGTATGAGTGGATGACATAACTATCACATAAAGACGGGGTGGCTAAACTGGAGGGCTGCCATGGGGGTGCTTTTGACAAGTAGGTAGTGCTAAAAATGGTGGCAAGTTTTACTGTGTAGTCATCAGACTGGCTATATGGTATGGGTTGGAATGTTAGGCGATAAGGAAGGCCCACGAAGTTGGAAGTGGCGGGAATGAGGATTCTTAGATGGCCCTGAGGTCGGACCATCAGAAATAAGATGAGTTTGGTCACATTCGTAGGAGATATACAGCAGCTTCAACGAGGAGAGTAGAAAGTGTGATGGTCGAGGGAGTCTAGAGAAAGGGTAGGCGGCAGAGGACTTGAGATGATCAGCCGAGGTTAGACATGGCGATTTTAGGCATATCCAAGGACATGACTTCAGATGGGAGTTCTTGGAAACACAATATTAAGGTAGCTGACTAGGGATGGGAATTTGTAGCTAGGCTAGACAGGAGGAAGGGGTCTGGAGGGGTAAAGTAGAGGTGTATGGATAAGATGGTTAGTGGGTGGCCAATTAGATCTCCCTAGTCCTAAGTTAGAGGGTGTGTAGGTCTTTCTACCTTGGTTATGTTTTCTTGTTCATGCTTCTGGTTGTGTGTCCTGTTTGTTTGTTTATCTGGCTGTTTGAATGTTGTTGCTTATTTCTGATGCATTTTCAATTTTTAGCGTTGCCTTTCTTTTTTTCAAGTTCTTATTTTGCCATTTTGTGTACTTTTTTTGGGCAAGCTTTGTCATTTCTTTTCACACGTTTTGCTCAAGCCAGGGGTCTTCTTGGAAACAACCGTCTACTCTTTGGGGTAGAGGTCAGGTTTGCGTACATCTCACCCCCCATACCCCCACGTTTGTTACTCTTCGGGGTAGAGGTCAAGTCTGCATACATCTCGCCCTCCTACTCCAGCTATGGGTGGGACATAATGGGTTTGTTTGATTTAGTAATAACTTGATTGATCAATTTCAAAGGATATCCCATCAGACACCCGTCCTACAAGTTTTGCTTCAATGATTGCCAAAAAGAAACTTGTATACTTAAGACAATGTGGGTGTATATGCTTTAGTTTTACTAAGTATGTTTTAAAGCATTCACCAAAAATTGTATCTTGTGCAGAGGCAAACAAAATTAGTCCAGGATGAGAACCAGTTGTTGGAAAACATTTTAAGAACGCTACTTCAGGAGCTGGTGGTAGGTTCCTCTCTTGCATACTTTCTTAATTGTCACACCGTGAATTAAGGGACAAGTCAATATGTTCTCATGATAATTGATTTATGTGATGTTGTTTGGTTCCCACCAACCCAGTTATGCATATAATAGCTTCATTATTTTTTCTAAGCCTTTTATTCAGCCAACGATTGAAGCAGGCTATCAGGATTTTTTTTTATTGGGATCAAAGCTGACAACTTAGTAGCTTCAATTTATTGATCGCTTTTTTTATCGTCTCACCCCTCTTCAATGGCATAGTCAGCTGCAGTTCAATCAGGGGAAAATACCATGAGGTATGGGGAGTTGATTGGCGATGGTGAAAGCACACAAGGGCAAATACCTCGTCTTCTTGGTGAGTTATATTTTACTGCTTATGAAATTCTGTAAATGTATTGCAGTTTAGTATATGGTTCACTTAGCCCATTAAAAAACACAAAACTGAATCTTGTTAAATTATAATTGGTAGTTGGGACGAGACATGAACTATATTTTTGGTTAGTACATTGATGTTTAGCTCTTATCAGTTATTGGTCAATGTTCTTGCATTTATGTTTGCAATTTCTTGACAGACATTGTGCTATATCTTTGTGAAAATGAACACATTGAAGGGGGCATGATATTCCAACTTTTGGAAGATTTGACAGAGATGTCTACAATGAGAAACTGTGAAGACGTCTTTGGTTATATAGAAAGTAAGCAAGACATCTTGGGGAAGGTATGTATAATCTCTATTAGGGTTCTTCAAGTGTTTAATATCTTCGTCCTATTTAACCTTTTGGCACTAGCATCACCATACTGAATGCATGTCACTTGAACCTAAAAATGGTTTTTTGGTTTCTACTATGCGTTTGCTTCCATATAGCCAGAGCTGTTTGCAAGGGGAAAGCTTGTGATGTTAAGGACTTGTAATCAACTTCTTCGTCGTCTGTCAAAGGTATTTTCATTTGGAAGTGATATGATCTAGATTTCCAAGGATATTTGTGCTTGCCAGTTGTTTTTAATGACACATTTAGTTAAGGTGGGTGCTAAAATTATTTTGGTGTTGGCTTTATTTTCGAACTTAGATCGTGCATGACTACCATGGAAAGTATATGTGCCTTTGACATCAGGCTAAGGTGTTCCAATCTATTTGTAGTAAATAGTAGCCTGGGAGCTATCATGTCCAAAAAGATAGTCTGGGGTTTTGCAGTTGCTTCTGAAATTTAGCAGCCATATGTTTCGACAACTACCTTATATCACCAGTGCTTTTCATGCTATACTCCTTCAGTCCCATGGAAATCTCAACGCCTGAGCGGGCACATAGTTTAAGAGAAATATTTGACTACTAACCAAATGCCATTTCAAATACCTTCAATAATGATTAACAGAGATATCTTCTAGACCCTAATCATTGTTGTTATGAGTTATGACTTACTTTTAGTTTAAACTTATACGAAAGAAAATCTTTAAAATTTCTTTAGACATCAAAAAATTGAATGTATTACAATTTTTAAAGAACCAAGGGAGTGCTTCTTATTGGTTTGTGGCTTACATTTTACATATAAGAATGGGTGTATTAATGTTAGGGTACTGCGGAGGTGGTAAATCCAAACTTTTTGAAGTTGAGTTGTTAGATTCTTGGTTTTAATCTACAATTACTTAATCATGACCGGCATCTTCATTGTCTCTCTTGGGTTTTCTTCCATTGATGCGTATTGCAGGCAAATGATGTGGTGTTTTGTGGACGTATCATAATGTTCCTTGCTCATTTTTTCCCATTGTCTGAACGTTCGGGTAATTCTTCTTATCTATTCTCATTCTTTTGTGATCTACTTTTTTTTCCTCTAATTCTATAGTCAAATGGCATGTTTTGCATCTACAGCTGTAAACATTAAGGGAGTTTTCAATGTTTCAAATGAGACAAAATATGAGAAGCAAGCACCGGATGGTAAGTATCATGGACTCGCATTACTTACGGATTTTGAGTGTTGATGCTATTGATTACCACACCCCTGTTATAATTGATGGATATTGTGGGGTTTTCATGTTGTATGTGTAATATTTCGTTTGTACATTACACATACATTTTCCTATAGAATGTGATTGAATATCACATATCAAGTCTCTATTTGTTCTAGATCAATGATAAATGTTATTTTAGCCTATTAATTAAGCTAAACTAACAATCACACAGTTGTTTGCTAATGTCAACTTACAATAATGTGCAATAGGATACAAGGAGATGAAATTATATACTAAACATGATAATACTTAACAACCCGTTGAATCATGCTTCTAAGAAGAATTTCATGCAAGAATCAGGATGTACAACACTCCTCCAAGCATACATGATCTTCTTGCATTGTCTTTGAAAATGTGATGCAACACTAGGCTTAAATGTTGCAACAAATGTCATACAAACTGATACGGATCAACAATTATATAGGACCATTTTTTCAGTGACATCAATAGTTAACAATCTTTATAGGTGTTCAAGTACATGGCTAAAAGACTTCTATGGTTTTCAGGAATTTCTATTGACTTCAACTTCTACAAAACCTTTTGGAGTTTACAGGTCAGTCTAATGATGCCTTATCTGAAACTAATTTCTGGATACGGGATTATTAACTTCGTAATTTTCTCATCTCTCTATCGACCATGGTAATCTGTATGCAACCCCTTTGTCGTAGTATTTATACAAAATGCCAACAGTTCCTTCTATAATAAATTGATTTTTTTATCATTTCAGGAGTACTTTAGCAACCCTGCTTCCATTAGTCTTGCTACGACCAAGTGGCATAAGTTCTCTTCCTGTTTGACGGTATTATTTCTGTGATAAGTTTTTTTTCTGTTTGTATTTTTGACTTTTTAGCATTTTTGTTCAATTTTCTTCCATTTTGCAATGAGATATCCAGGTAGTCCTGAATACATTCGAAGCTCAACCTTTAAGTGATGAAGAGGGTAGTGCTGACAATCTTGAGGATGAAGCAGCAACCTTCAGCATAAAATATCTTACAAGCAGTAAATTAATGGGTCTGGAGGTCGGAGCTTTCTATCCAACTATGAACTTTCTTATTGGCATTTTCAGTTTAAAATACTTCAACCTCGGTTACACTGATCTTTTATCATTTCTCGTCTACTACAGTTAAAGGATCCAAGTTTTCGACGCCATATTCTTGTTCAGTGCCTTATTATGTTTGATTATCTTAAGGTAACACGTGCATTTCATTTACTGGTTCATTCTCAAAAGCTACGAAGTTGCGTATACAACATGAACATGTGGTAAGATCAACACAAAGTGTGTGGTATCTCAATTAAAGGAAGAATAAAGATAATAAAGAGGGAAAATGAAGTAACATTTATCATATAAAATTAACAATAGGTGACATAAAACTGAAACATGAAAACTGCATCCCTTGTTTGACGATTAAGCATTAGAAATTCATTCAACCGTCAAGTTCTAGCTTATGTTGACCTTTTCAGAACACATGGTAGGTTGAGTATTTTATCTTAGTATGTAGTAAAACCTCATGCTTTTTACTTATCAATCTTGTTGTTTCTAATTTGTTTTAGGCTCCAGGGAAAAATGACAAAGATTTGCCGTCTGAAACAATGGTTAGTGATCCCTTTATATTACAATGTTCTTTTAGATTAGGTGTGGTCATCTTTATGGATTGCCAAATTCTTTTCCGAGATTTGGATAAATGTGACAAGTAATAATTGCGTTGGTCATTTTATAAACATCACAACAAATTGCTATTTCTAACTGCAGAAGGAAGAGATAAAATCTTGTGAAGAACGAGTAAAGCAACTTCTTGTTATGACTCCACCCAAAGGAGAAAAATTTCTTCACAGCATTGAGCATATATTAGAACGAGAAAGGAATTGGGTGTGCATCCCTCTTTGTTCTCCTTGAATCCGCGTGAATTTGAATTGATCTATTTTGTTTGTTTTGATTTACTTTGCTCCTACGCTAAACCTGTTTCAGGTATGGTGGAAACGTGATGGTTGCGCTCCATTCGAGAAACAGCCCACGGAGAAGAAAACCGTCCGAGATGGAGGAAAAAAACGGTACAGGATTTTTAATGATGATTTGCATTGACCATTCTTCGCCTATGTTACAGCCTACTGTAGCATCGATTTCTCCTTATTCTTATGATCTACATTAATTAAATAGGTTCATCCATTTCAATGTTTTTCTGTTCTTTTAGAAACCCTGTAGGCCTGTACTTGAAAGCATGGTGAAGGCGTAGATGATTTTCCTGTTGTTATTTGTAGTGTGGGTTGTTTTAATTTATGGAGTGGGTTCGATTTTATGCATGGTTCAATATCAGCTAGGGGTAGTCCCAATTAATTCCCCAGTTCTTTTTAGAGCTAATTTTATAAAATTGCTAGCTTTAGCATCAAATAATGGTATTCGTGTAATTATACTATGAAGATAGGGTCGGGAAATGCTGAGTAAAGAATCCCTATTTTCTTGTCGTATTTTTGTCTTGGTGGTACACAAGATTCATCTACAATACATATATTGAATAGCTTCTGAACTTGTGGTAACTTTCAGTCGTCCACGATGGAGACTGGGGAATAAAGAACTGTCTCAATTATGGAAATGGGCAGATCAAAATCCGGTGCGTTAAAATATAAGTTTGTTATCATTTACATTTTATACAAATTTTCAATGCCATTAGATCTTATAATTTTATGGAGTACTGCATATTTATTCTCTGATTTTAACCATTCTTGTATCTTCATTTGTTACTTCTGCAGAATGCTCTAACTGATTCTCAACGTGTACGCACACCTGCTGTCACAGAATACTGGAAACCCTTAGCCGAAGACGTAAATTCCCGAATTATCAGAGTTTTATTTACCTAAGAAGTTTTATTTTCAGCGGTTTTGTTTCATACAAGTAATTCTCGGAGATTTTACGTGCATAAATCTGATCAGGATTCTCTTGCTTGATTGCAGATGGATGCATCTGCTGGAATTGAAGCAGAATACCACCACAAAAACAACCGGGTTAGTCTCTGTTTCCAATGGAGCGTAAATAGTAATTTGTGGCTTTCAACAAAAAGTGTCGAGTATGATGTTCTTTTTCTTTTGCATTTACTTTTCCACAATTTGTCTAGAATTGTTTGTTCCAGCAAATTACATTGTTTTTTTGGCAGTTTTATAGAAGTATCCGATGGTTAAGCCAACTAATCAGATGCCTAAAACGCCTTTTAATAGTTAAAAAATGGGAAAACTCTGGTGGATCATGATTACAATCACCATCTGTAATTTAAAATGATGTAAGAGGGTAAAAGAATAACTTTAGTTTCAACTTTTGCCAAAGAAGGGAACAATGTGATCAACAGGGGACATCTTAGAAAGGAAATTGTTGTAAATTTATGCATTTTAATTATTCTTGAAGAGATGTATGCAGAAGTATGAAACCGTAAGCTCAACTATTTGTGTAGGTTTACTGCTGGAAAGGTCTGCGGTTTTCAGCAAGACAGGATTTGGAGGGGTTTTCTCGAGTGAGATTTAATGTTTAAAAATCAAATACATTGTGAATTATGATCTTTTTATATTGGAATGAAGTTTGAGCCAAATTTCTTGCAGTTCACTGAATTTGGCGTCGAAGGGGTTGTGCCCATGGAACTTATGCCACCTGATGTCCGATCAAAATATCAAGCTAAACCAAGCGACAGGTCAAAACGCGCTAAAAAGGAAGAAACAAAAATCACTGCAAATCAGGCAGAAGAGAATCAGGTGAAATATATCCCCCCATTAGAACAGACTTTGACTTTTCAGGTCAAACCTAGTGCTTTGTTGTTTCAATATTTGTATAACTTGTTTAGCAAATTCAACTCCCGGATTTTGCTTCTTGTAGAGTATTGTCATAAAGTTTGATGCTATATGAAGTTTCCTGAAAGTTAAACATTCAATCAGTTTTTTGAAGTTGACCACAAAAGTCAACTATTTTCTTGGAACATAGGGAAGTACAAAGTCAGAAATTTCAAAGCCCCATATTTTAGAGCATTTTTTCTGGGAAACTGATTTTTGGTGTTTTCAAGATTGCAACACCAGCAAGTGAGGTTGATGGTGAAGTGAATAGACCAGATCTTGAAGCATCAACAGCACCAATGGACACCGATGCTGCAAATGTTTCATTAGGTGGAACTCCGACTCCCGAAGAGCAACAGAAACAAACCCCTGACACAGATGGTGGTCAGGAGCCTGGTCAAATCGATGAACCCGAGCCAGACCAAGAACCAGAACCAGGAATGATCGAAGGCGAAACCGATGCTGAAGTTGATACAATTGTAGTGGGCTGAGAAAAAACAGCTTCTATCTTGTGTGAAACCTGTGTAATATTATGAATCCCCCCCTCCCCTCTTTGCATGTAGCATCATTGCAGGGATGAACAAGATAACAAGATGGGGATATGATGTATCATATCCAATTGCTACATCTTTTTGGGGGTTTACCAGATTTTTAAGTTAAAAGGACGTAATTACCCTTGCAGTGTTGTCTTTTTGAGCTTGCTTTTGATTTATGGCTTTTGTTTTGAAATGAGATAATATTTTTATATTATACTGTCAAATGAAGCTCATAATTTATTTTAGTTTTACTGATTTGTTACTATAACATAAATAAGATCAATATGGTATCATGCACCATGAACGGAAAAAAGATTTCACAACTCCTTGACCATAAAAATGATATCATAAAATTCTGTGATCCAAAAAATAACATAATAAAAAAAATCTTAAATTGCATATTTTTGAACTTTATACAATAATATTAATATAGAATTACTTTATTTTAATTTTTAATGTAATAATATTTTTATAAAATGTTGGTAAATGAGAATATAATAAAAAAAATGTTTTTGACGATGAAAACATAAACATAAAAACTTTCCAATAAAAAAGATTATCATTTAAATAAATTTATAAAATAAAAAGATCACCAATCAGACAGCTTTCCTACTAGCTAGGGGTGTTCAAAAACCCGATCAACCCAACCCAACGTGAAATAACCCAAACTGAAGCAACTTGGTGTCTAATCGAGTTGTAAAATTGTTAAACTATAGGTATTGGGTTACAATTATTTGAACTCAACCCAACTCGATGAACCCGATATCTTTTTATATCATGGATTTAATGTGATTGTTAATTTTTATTGATATATACATTAGACAATCACACTATCATGTATGTTTTTTATATTTTCAATCTATTCATATATCTATATAACTCATTCGTATATATATTCAGTAATTGTGAACATATATATGTAAATTGAGAAAATTAACTGAATGTAATATACATAAGAAATATAAATAAGTTGTATCAAATGATTAATGATGAAAAAGAAATTGTGAGTAGAGAAATTACATATTCAAGGTTAGAAAAATATTTTAATGTACCAAAGTATCAACCCGACCAACCTGACTAACCCGACCAACCTGTAAGGGTGGGTTGGGTTAAGATTTTTAAACCGCAAACATTGGGTTGAGTTATTCATATGTCTTCAACCCGATCAACCCAACCCATGAGCACCACTACTACCGGCTATACCACTCGTCAGAGGTTGTTTATGTTGTTTTTTGGGGTTGAAGTTTCACTTAATGAAATGTTTGCAGTAGACCGTTTACTTAGGCTCGTCAATCTTTTTGATGAATGGCTTGGTTTTGTGCACACTCTTGCTTGTATAAAATCAACCGTCACACTTTTCATCATATAATACTTGTTAAAACATGCTTTTGTTAATAAAAAATTCAGCGATAACTTGTTTTTAATATGATTAAGTAGTAGTCAACTAGTTGGTTGTGGGGTTAATTCAACTGACAATAAAACTTGGATTTTTTGGATCCTCCTCTTAAAACATCGATTTTTATTGACCAATCAGAATTGTCTCCCAGGATCTATAATTGCCTCAAAAGGTAGTTCGAGTACTATTAAGACTATTAAAAATGCATTCATCCATTTGTGTACCTCAATTATTTATAACAAAGTTTATATATCACAAGTTTTTTTTATAGAAAAAATTGATTAATTATGTTTGATTTTATATCTATTGAAGGTAAAATAGATGAATATGAAGTAAAACACCAACTCCAAGATTCTTAATTTGATGTTAAATTCTCGTACCTCCAGATCATGTATATACAATACAGGGTCTCTCTCTCTTTTCTTGTTCATGCAACATGAAAATTCCTTCAAAACAGGAGATGTTTTCTCCTTGTTTCAAGCAATCATCCCTCCATCGCAATAGAAAGAGCGATTAAAGAGGAGATAAAATTAGGTGAAAATTCAATTGAGTTTATTTTTCATTTCTCCCTCCACCTATCAGAGTTCCTTATGAGGGTTGCAAAAAGGAGAAAACTTGATGGTGGTTCTTTAGAAATTTAATAACTTGAAAGAATTCGTTTAGTTTGGAAACAACGTTTTGATTTTTCAATTTTTATGGTCAGAAGTATGGGAATCAAAATGGGTATTCTCCGGTCTTGATCATTGTTATGCAGTCTAGATGTTTGATAAATTGTCACAGAGATGAAGGGAGAAGAGCAAGTAAGGACTTTGTTTGGGATTTCGCTAACAGATAAACCAATATGGCAACAATTTTTCATTTGCTCTTCTGGGTTTTTCTTTGGGTATCTTGTTAATGGCATTTGTGAGGTTGGTTTTATTTCTTTCATATGACGCACAAATGCACATAGAATCATACATTTATGCACATTTAGGGATTTCTTCAACGATCTTTGTGTGCTTGAATTCCCATCCAGGCTTCTGCTTTAAACAATCTTGATATGATATGTTTCATCATTTCATTCTTATTGGTTTCCTATGAAAACTCATTGTATAATTCAAGAAAGCCTATATCTTCTCTTATTGCAGGAATATGTATATAACAGGCTTCAATTCAGGTACATCAAAGAGATAACAACTTATTTCCTGAGTTAATGTTATGATATGTGATATATATTATCCCAAAAAGTTGACATATTTTCATTACAATTAATTCAGCTATGGATGGTACTTCACGTTCATACAAGGCTTTGTATACTTGACACTCATTCGTTTACAGGGATTCACCCCCAAACAAATGGTGAATCCATGGAATATGTACGTTAAGCTCTCAGCGGTTCTTATGGGTTCTCATGGATTGACTAAAGGGTCCTTGGCTTATCTAAATTATCCTGCACAACTCATGTTCAAATCGACAAAGGTATATGTCTTAATAGTTTTCTTTTAACTATCTAGTTGTTTGATCTTCAAACCCACAATATTTTTGGATCAAAATATATCCTTTCAAGAAACTTGGATCAAAATTATTGTTTTAATCTTCAAATGAAATCTTTCACAGGTTTTGCCTGTTATGATCATGGGTGCCTTCATTCCTGGCTTGAGAAGGAAGTACCCTCCACGTGAATACCTTTCTGCTGTTCTTCTAGTTGTTGGTTTGATACTCTTCACCTTAGCCGATGCCCAGTCTTCTCCAAATTTTAGCATTATTGGAGTTGTGATGGTTTCTGGAGCTCTAATCATGGATTCCTTTTTGGGTAATTTTCAAGAAGCAATTTTTACCATTAATCGCGAAACTACTCAGGTAAGTGTTATCTTTCTTGATTCTTATAACTGAGCATGGGTCTTAGATGAATTAGAAATGCATATGGGATTTGGAGATGTTCAGAAACCAAGCAGAGTTCTAGTCCTTCTTGGGTAATCAGTTACGATTATTCGGCATTCTTGACATGTTTTTCAGATGGAAATGCTATTCTGTTCAACGATAGTGGGCACGCCTTTCTTGGTGCCACCAATGATTGTAACAGGAGAACTGTTCAAAGCATGGAAATCATGTTATGATGTAAGTGTTGTGTAGTACTGGTATTAATATGTTCCCATTCACCTGTCCTGGTACAAGCTGATATTCTGAATAGATTAGTGTTTATATACAAACATCGCATATAGCAACCATAAGCTGCCTTATTTTTTGAGCTTATTGAAAAAGCTCCGTTTGGGTTAGGCATAAACTAGCTTTTGTAATGCTGCTTCAACAAGCTCCATGGGCTTTTTGCTACATTTTTTCCAATTATACCCCTTATATTTTTCCAATTAATTTTTCTACATGTTCTTGTAGGTCATTTTACATTATCAGCTAGTTTTACCCAACATGACTAGTATATCGGCTAACAACTAGCTTATCAACCAACAACTATCATATCAAGAAAGTTCTAAAGAAATTCAACTCAATGACCACCATTTTTCGTCATTACACTATTTCATGATCATCTTTTTTGACAAGTTTTTCGGTCTTAAACGTGCAGCATCCTTATGTATATGGCGTCTTGATTTTTGAAGCTGTAGCTACATTTGTCGGTCAAGTATCTGTTCTATCGCTCATTGCCATTTTTGGGGCTGCAACCACTGCTTTGGTAACTACTTTCTCTAAATTCCCTTATCATAGTGAAATTGGATATGTTAAAGTTGCATTTTATGGTTAATAGGTTGGGTTCGGGTGAAAACAACCCCCTCTTGTGAAGGTACCTTTATATATAGGCGAAAGATCGTGTGAGAAAGAGAGTTAAAATGAGAAGTGTAATAAGAGATTTGGACCCTTGATCATATTTAATCTCAAACCCACCCATGAATTGCGCTTGATACATAGATTGATCCGGTGCATCTCGATGCATCTCATCCTAATGTGCATCCAGGGGTGGAGATCCCTCTCACCTTAACTCTTCTTCTCACCGGACCCAACCCCTTATATACAAGAGTATATATATATATCCTTAGAGCATCTTCGGTAAATTTTCTAAAATAGAAAAAATTGAGTTTTTGTTCTTTATATGGCTCCAACAGATTCTCTGTCTTGTTCTCTAAGATAGAGAAACTCCAAATATAGATGATTCTCTAAAACTTTCATATAGGAGAGAGAAATGAGTTTTTTACTCATGAGATAGAATCAATACTATTTTATATAGAAGTTCTTTAAAGTGTATTGAGATTATAAAATTATATAATATTTAAATAATATAATTAATGATGAAATCTCTAAAATAGAGAATCTGTTGAGTTGAATGTAATTTATTTTAGAGATATTAACTTTTGGTCCTCTATTTAGAGAAATTAAAGAGAATTTGTGGTACATATATCCTTGTATGTAATGTAACCTTCCAATACACAGTTTTAGGTCATGCGAATGTTACAGCCTTCACACATTATAACGTAACATTGATACAAAGGTACCTTCACCTTTTTCCACCTTCTCATGAAAATGAAGATTTCTCATGTGATCCTGACTCTATGGTTCATATAGGTAACAACTGCAAGAAAGGCGGTAACTTTATTGTTATCTTATGTGATATTCACAAAGCCCATGTCTGAACAACATGGGATCGGGCTAATCCTGATAGCTGCGGGTATCATGATGAAGTTGTTGCCGGATCACAAGATTCCCCCACAGCTTAGATTGTCGAATTCCATTGTAAAACAAGTAAAATCTTTTCCTAAAGAAGAAACGAGTGAAAGCGAGGATGAAAAGAGACCTCTGGTGTAAAAATGGTGACGGAATGTGGGTTGACCGTGGGGGCTCTTGATTTTTTTCGTTCTTTTTTGGTTTTAGATTAAGCCGAAAGAAGGTTTTGGTAGGTTGTAATGTGAATATATGATGGTTTGCTTCATCTTGTTTTGGTGTTTTTGTTCATATGAATATGTAGTGAGAAAGATTTGAAGTTTAATTGGTGGGAAATATTGCCTTACGGAATAGGGTTTTCCGGATGTAAAAAACCCCTCATGTGCGAAATTATAGAAGATTCCCTTTAAGATCAAACAATTACATCGAAACAAGGATATCATGATGCAATTTTCTTACTTAAAATGTTAGATAATCATAGACGATGATAACATCATCGTTCCCATCCCACTGAGTGGGGCCTGTATCTCAGAGGATTAGAGCACGTGGCTATGAATCATGATATCGGGGGTTCGAATCCCTCCTTACCCACAACTGGCCCATCGATTGGAGTAGATTCTTTTTTTTTTTATTAATCAAAACCCCCTTCCAATACTGTTTTAATTATTATGTATTGTTTTGCGATAATTAAAAATTGGTAGTTTCATAAAAATAACCTCGAAACTCTATCAATATTTTGTATGTACGCTTGTTGATAATCAATGAAATTATCGATTTACATGGTATCAAAGTTCATTTAAAAACTCCTATTTCATCTCCTTCCTTTTCCACCAATCGTACCATAGGGAAACCGTCACCGCTGCCACTAGCCAACCATCATGACAAAGTCCGGCGAGTCCTTTAGGATGCGTTTGGTACACTGGACAGGGACATGACATAATAGGATAGGGATCTTTATCTCATGTTTGGCATGAATTTTATGTAGAACAGACAAGAACAGAGTGGAACAAAGTGAAACAGAACTGTTCCACCCCTATCCCATGGAACAGGGTGGAACAAGGTGGAACAGACTTATATTTTACCAATATAACCTCAAAATAAAACTTAATTCTTTTCTAAAACATTAAATAGGTCTCTCTTTTAAATTTTATTCATTTTTTAAATTTTATTTATTGTATTTTATGTTTCTTAAATTTCATTTTACTGTCCTCAAAATATTATTTTTATACGGTTTCTATATTTTTATTATTTTATGTAATTTATTATATATTAATAATAAAAAATAATGTAGAAAAAAGATAAAAATAAAAATAAAAAACCACATAAACTTTTTATTTGGTGTCATTTTAATTGTTTTGACGAAAACTTCAAATGATATATTATGTTATAAAAAAATAATTATTATATTATAATTTAATAAATTACATAAATTGTTTTCTTGATTTTATCACCGTCAAACGTATTGCGTAAGGTTCACACACGCAATTTGTTGTTTTCGATGAGTTTTGTATGTTTTCCCTTGATCAGAGTAGTAAATATTCGATTTTGATCTTACATGAGTGATTGTACATGTGATAGGTGAATTCTTTTGTTTTTTGGAATCCAAGTTTTGTGAATGTGATGATACTATATAGGATCACTAGCCAAATTGTTTTCTTGATGTTTATATTTTATTTACTATTTGATATTTAATCCATTTTAATTGATTGTGTGCTTGTTGGTAATAGTTTTTTTTCTTCTTAGTATGGAATGCATATAGATTTGCTTCGATAATGGATTCTTGATGCTTGTATTATATTTACATTTTTCATATATCATTAGTTGATTATGAAATCATGTATTTTTGTAAATATATTTTTGCAAATGTATTTTTGCAAGTAATAGTGGTTTAATGTAAGTTATACTTTGCACATTAATATTTATATTGATTATTTAGTGGGAAAAAAAACACTAAACAACCCATTGGGGGTAAATTGGTCATTTTAACCAGTTCTGTCCAGTCCTGTCATGTTTTACCAAACGTTGAACAACTGTCATGTCCTATCCTGTCTGCAAACCAAACGCACCCTTAACTCTCCTTTTAGCCGATCAATGCTTCATCCGGCCTTAGCTGTATAAAACATTAAAAACCACATATCCATTCACCCTTGAGATAGAAAACGTGCTACCACCCTATGCCATCTTTTATTTTGTCGACGTGGGATATAACCACTATCAATACCACAAACTTAAATTTCGAGAGTAATCAAATCTTATAGTGTCACCTCAATCTCATTCTATCTAATTATTTAACCAAACAATACTTTTTCAATTCCATTCAAAATTTTAAAATACTAAAAATTTATAATGTGACATTCTCCTCGGGTTTTTTGTTTTTTTTATATGTAGAAATTTTCTAACCACAAGTCCACAAGGGTGGTGTCTGATTGGTTTGAGTTTGACTCCAAAGGTCAAAAATATCAGAAGGTCTCATGTTTAAATCTAAGGAGGAATAAAAATCTTCTTGTTGCCACAGAGGTTCAATGCGGTGACTCCGAGAAATCTGCAAAGCAGGTGATCGTCCTGGGATTAGTCGGCTCGCATAGCGGGTTGGATATCCAGGTTAATAAAAAAAAATTCTCTTCTTTAAAGAGAAAATTAAAAGTCAAAAAAATTAGTTTCATTTTGAATGATTACGATATTAATTATATTATTAAAATATTTAATATAATTCATAAAATATTATTTCTCTATCTTAAATACTTAAATCCAAAAATTCTTATTGTTAGAATGAAATAATAAATCAAATTTTTTTCAAAAAAATCATTTTTAAATATTTTTCTAAATTTTAAAGAATTTCATTTTCAACCTCTGTTGTCTCTCTCCAATTTGTAGAAATTTAATGAAAATAACCTTAAAATCTCCGTTTTAAAGAATAAACTGAAAATAACCTTAAAATCTCCGTTTTAAAGAATAAAGTGATAAAGTAGGAGGAGTTCCTTTTTGTACACATGATGAATATGGGCTAATTATAAAGGGCCCATGTAGATGATAAATTTGTATTTGGGCCGACAACAGCATGTGAGCATGCCGCCCATCATCTCGTCGATCCGACGGATCTAATTGAAAGTTAATACCCCACCTGAATTTAACGGCTAAAACCCATTGACTTCGATGTACCTACCTGCACATTATAATTAGTCTGCCCATTTGAAAAATCAAAAACGAAAACCCTAGAAAGACGAGATTTTGATCTACGGCGAATAAAAAGGGTATTTTTAGCAACACAAGAACCCTAATTCCGTCTTCATTCATCCAATCTTTTCTTTTTCTCGAAACGGCATCTGTTATTGATACATGAAAGGAACCAAGCGTCTCGGCGTATCAGAATCCACTGTAGACACCAATAATTTGTTTGTATGTAAAACCCTTGTTCCTTTTTCGCCTCTGCGTATGTTTTATTTCAGTATTAGTGGTTTTATGTGAACTCAGGTGAAGTTTTGGGTTTCGATTTAATTGATTGATCTTGTTGGTGTTTCTATGATTTCAATTGTTCTCGACGGTTTTTTGTTCTTGCAATTTGAGGCTGCTTTTTTAGCAGAATGCCAAAGCTGAGTTTACTTTCAAAGAAATGAAATCTTTTTGCTGGAGTTAGATGTTAGAACTTAGAATTAGCAAATTGAATGCGGTAAAAATATTTGCTTCCATGTTTTTGTAGGTTGGAGGTGTCATTGGTAATTTGGTAATGTAATGTTTGCTAAGAGCCCTTGCTAGTGAGCGTCTTCATATCTCAAAATAAATTAAGCTAATCTTAGAATTCAATGGTAGCAAAACTTTGTTTCACTGAATGTGGTTTCTGGATTTGTTAGATGTTTTACCTGTAATGGAAGTAACATGAGGCAGAGTGTGTGGTTTCTGTATTTGTTAGATGTTGTACATGTAAAAGAGTAACTGGATATCATGCATGTCTCCTCATTCTATGGATCTTGGTTTCATTTCTGACTCTAGTTATGTGGTTCCAGAGTAAAAAAATTATGGTAGGACCACAATTTGATTTTCAACGAGCAGCATCAACTCAGCAGAACTCAGTGGGGGCTCCATCATTAGATATGCATCGAGCCGAGTCATCAAGACAACATGTGAGAGCTCTCAATAACCAATTTGCAAGGTCTGTGATTTACCCTGTATCATTTGCAACTAGCATTTATTTGTGCACTGTTTCAATAATTCGATTTGTTATCTGTGTTAGACAGTTGCAACTAGCATCTATTTGTGCACTGTTTCAATAATTCAGTCTTGTTGAGTTCATGCATGACCCCCTTTTAGCAATAACTAGAATTTAGTTGTTTATCATAGGAAGTCTTCCCCCATATTATTTGCTATTCTTGATTTTCTTTGTAGCAACACTTGGGGTTTTCATGAACTTTATTCTTCCTAAACTGGCAGTATCGACTAAGTTTGTGTTTTGATTGTGAGCAGTTGGGTCCATGCTCAGTTGCAAAATCACCCTGATGAACTCTGGGAAGATGGAGTACAAGACTACCTAACTCATGCGTCAAACATTATGGTAACAACTGAACTTATAGCAAATAGTAAATTTGTATTTGACATATATTAGAATTATTGACTTCTATTTTAGAAAACTAAAAAAGTCGCTTTGGTTGATCTTGGTATAGGAGAAATTTAGTGATGTTGTCAACTGGCTTAAATCAAATTCGACAAAGAGTGAAAGTTTGTTAGAACATGGATCACATGCTGTTCAAAAGAAACTTGTTACAGAAAGTAAGGACAATGAAAATACATCCTTTCAAGAGAAAATTCTGAAGGCTCCATTTTCTGCAACAACCCCAGTATTTGCAACTTCAAGTTTTGCAACCTCATGGAGTACCGGGTCTCTCTTTAGCAATCAATCCTCTTTTTCATTTGGTAGGTGTTATTTCCATTATTCTGTGGTATCTTATATTGTTCATGAATTGGATTTGTAGTATGATTTACAGCAAGGGTAGGTGTGATTGTAGTATGACATCTTATTATGTGATCATTATCTTTGGAGCATGGTTCATGAATGGCACCTCAAGTGCTTGGCATAAAGTTTAAAGTCAACAATAGACTCTTATAAGTTTTAAGGTCTTACCAGCAACTGTGTCCTCAAAGCTCCATTATATATTTCGTATTTGTTCCAAGTGATCGTTTTTGGGCTTCAAACCTTTTATATAAGTCACATTAATTGCCTAGTTTGTTCAACTTGATATTCTTATTTTTATAAGAATAATGCAGTGTCTTTTAGTTTCTGACTTGACGTTGCTGGCATTGATTTTATGTTAAAAGCATGAATTCTTCATTTGACAGGTCAAGTGTTGTAGGAGGGTCTTGCTGTCAAATATCAAATTGCAAGAACATTTTTTATATTTTCTATGACTTTTCTTGCTTTTCGCTTGAGGATTTATTCTGATAGACATTGGATAGTCTGTGTTTTACTTTGACCAGAGTTTAAACTTTAACTTTTAACTTGTATGATGCTTTCAAGGATTCCATTTTGTGTATCCGTACAAATGAATTGGGGAGAATGCTTGTATTCTTGGATTCCAGAAACTTATTTTGTAACTAATTAATTCAAGAAATAACATTTTGTTTTTGGGGGGGGGGGGTTCATGTTATACATTTCCAGAATAGCTTTGATTTGAATCTTCACGAAATAATTTTCTAAAATATTAGGACAATGAGTAGTGATCATTCTTTTAATGTCATCATGAAGGAGAAGGTCGAAAGTTATTACAGCATCAAGCTTGTATTTTTGTTTGGACATGTGGAAATTGTTGGAAGGATGCTTGTCAACCTATCCTGCATACAGTTAATAACTGCTCAAAATTTTATAGTGTTTAGCTATTGTTGCATGCCAGTTTCAGTACTTTTAAGTTGTTTCATTTTCCTTCTCTCTCAGGCGGGCAAAGTACAATTTCTGTAAAGCCAGATGCTTCAAATGATGCAGATGGTGGTAAGACATGAAATGTTATTTACTTTATTTTTTGTAACAGATCTTATGAAAGTATAATGAACACATTATAACTTGGTGTGTGATAATTTATGTTTCTTCTCATTTCACCAATGCTGTTAGTCTGTTACTATATTTATTTGATTAAATCAAAACATGTGACATCAATCTTCTTTATGCTTTGTGAGACAAATTGTCATTTGGGCTAGCACTATATGTATCAAGAATGGATGGTCTTGTCTTGTGTACATGATGTATTTAATCTTCAAAGATTTTTGACCTCATCAAGCCATTTTTACTGACATCATTTAAAACTTACCCTTCAACCTTAATAGAATTGTATGATCACATGAGACTCTCACTACCTGCTACCTCGTTATTCAGTTGGCTTGTATTTTCTGCACCTCTTCCACTTTAACTCATAAACCTGAATGTTCTTTTTATTATGAATCTTAAATATCGGCCTATCAATTTATTCTTTATGGTTTCTTAATCCTCAAGCTGACTATAAAACAGATGACGAAATTGAGCAGCCAAGCAGCCCATCTCTGAAAAAGACCGAAGAGACTGGCATCCTGGTAGTGCATGAAGTCAAATGTAAGCTTTATGTCAAGGTAATTAGCGAGAAAGGAAGTTTTGTGACTCAGACATAACAAATGCATATAATATTATCCTCCCTCTGTCCCTCAAAAAATGCGGTGTTTGACTTGGTACATAGTTTAGTGAAAGTTTTTCGACTATAGATCAAATACCTAAATACCCCTTCTGTACCAAAATTAACCTCACCTATATCTTGTAAATGGCTACTAATGGGTGAATAGGCAAATTGAAAGGGGATATTTCCAAATAGAAAACATCCTTAAAATAGACGTTGCAGTTTTTGGGGACGGAGGGAGTATTATATGTATATTTATATTATTTAAGACCTAAATGTTACTTTTTTGTAAAACAATTACAAAAGTATATAATACCTAAGTGAAAGTGTTCTCTTTGGAAATAATTTACAAAACAAAGTCTCTCCTTATGTGCTCTTGTAGTTATCTCTAATTTTTCCCTTCCATCTGCTTGTTCAGTCTACTGATCCAGCTGATAAAGATGCATGGAAAGATAGAGGAACAGGACAACTGTCTATCAAATGCAAAGAAGGTGTTACCAAAGGCACCAAAGACTCCAAACCAACGATTCTTGTTAGAAATGATGTATGCTATTTACCAACGTATTTTTGTGCTTTTAGCTGAATTTAGCTTCATATTTTGATATCCAAAGCCCATGGCATCTATACTTCTTTCATGTACCTTCTTTTCTGACGTATTCTTATGCTGCTAGCTGAGTTGAGCTTCATATCCTCAGATCCAAATCCCAAGGCATCTATACTTCTTTTTATTTCTCTTTTTTGATTGTTTCCTTTTTGTTGTTTATTGTGCCTTTTCCCAGAAGTTTCTAAGATTGGTCAGAATTTTGTGTCGTTATTGCCACGCTGGCTATGTTTCATTGATGAATCCTTGTTACCGAAACTAATTAACTTCCGAAATCTATTCAAATCATCTGCAAAGTGTTCTATTGAGATCGGCTCTTTTGTATGGCTGGCTCGTGTTGAATCCTTTTTATCCTTTGTTGAACCTAGTTTCATCCCACCGGTTGTTGTTATTGTCTATAATTTAACTTTTGCATTCGTTATGATGTATTTTATATGCTACTTCTGGCAGGTGGGAAGATTGCTGCTTAATGCATTGTTATATCCAGGCATAAAGACAAGCGTGCAAAAGAATTCAATTGTGGCTATTTTTCATACTGCGGTATGTTGCATACACTTTCACCACTATCTTCTCTCATTTTGCCAAAATTCCATCTACAAGTAGACTATGTACCCCTTTGAACCTGTAAGAGGACTAAGGGGCTGTTTACCAAACACTTACCGGGTAAGCGCTTACTGGCAAGAGAAATTACCTCTCACTTACCTTATCATGTAACATTGTTGGTCATCAAAATGGATTGTTGTCTTGTTGGTAAGCGTCTTAAACCCGGTAACCGCTTACTGGGCAAGAGTCTTTTTCCTCACTTACCCGGTAAGATTCTTGGTCCTTGTTATGCCTCTTACCGGGTAAGATTCTTGGTTTTTATCATGCTCAATTGGGAATGTAAGTGATACCGGTAAGCGCTTACCCGGGAAGCATTTAGTAAACAGCCCCTAAATGATCTATGGTCACTCAAATCTTGCAAGTATTGTGTAAAAAGGGTGCTTTACAACATGCATATTAGGTTGCTTTTGGGAATTTCTGCATTGACTGCTTATTCAGCTTAAATAGATTGATCATATGACCACATAGATCCCAGCCATAATTTTGCAATATTTTAAAAAACGAGTGGTTGGCAGTATTGGAGTCCCACATCAGTTGCACTTGGACCCTTTCTCAATATATGTATGATGGAACCTCTCTTCTATCCTTAAGGGCTCTTTTGGAAATTAATCTAATGGGCTTCCATATTTCTTACATGGTATCAGAGCTAAAGTGTACCACTGGAGGGACTCTCTAGACCCTCTGGGACGTGCTGTGCCCATCTAGACTCCATTGGAGGGGGTGTGTTGGAGTCCTATATCAGCTATACTTGGACCCTTTTTCCTCCATATACCGAGGAACCTCTCTTCTCTCATGAAGGGCTTTTTTGGAGAGTGATCTAATGGATTCCCCATATTCTCATATGTAGCTGAACAATTTTGGGTGATCTTTCTCTTATAGGATGATAACGGGAATGACAATAGCAAAGTTGTTGCACGTACCTTCTTGATAAGGACAAAAAACCAGGAGGACAGGGACAAGCTTGCGGCCACGATTCAAGAATATGCTCCTGCTGCTTCATAGTTTGCACCATCAACTGGATACAATGTGCATAACTTACGTGGGTATGTCGTTCACAATGGCTAAGACCACGTTATGGACCAGGTATGCAGAATGGTGGTAGTGGAGTCGAAGTCAGTTTATGTACGACTTGGGAAATCCGCGCTTTCATATTGTTTGTATCATTTAGGATGAGATACAAAATTGTACCATCGATCGGTTGCGGCTGAATGCAATTAGAAAGCCAGGTTTTTTGACGTATGCTTTATGTAGGCACCTTCATTGCTTAATGTTGTACTACTATATGGTTGCATCGTGGTTGAGTTTGCAGATGACACTAACAATCAAAACTATAATGGAGAGTGAGTAATCAAATATTTGATTGCAATTCAATAATAATTAAACGGTTATATTTGGTTGCAACCCAATGATGACATCTGGTGTGATTTTAAATGAACAATTTTTATATGTTTATTTGAATCTCCTTTTTACAAAAAAAAAATAATAATTCAACTTAAGGTCGTTCATCAAATGTTTACCATATAAGCGTTTATCTGCAAGTCACCATCCTTATATTTACCTTATTTGTTGGTAAACCTATTTTACCCGATAAAGGTTTACTGGGTACGAGTCTTTTCTCACTTACTGTAATCTTAACTTGTTATGTATCTTATGAGGTAAGATTCTCGATCCTTGTTATGCTTTTTATCGTGTAAGATTCCCGGTCATTTCTATGCTTATCTGGTAAGGTAGGTAACAACCGGTAAGACTTTTGGTAATCTTCTTTCATATTGTTATGGAAGTAAAGTTTTTCAATGGTAGGTAACTAGGTATCTTAATTCTTTAAAAGAAATTGAATATGCAAAGAGACTCGTAAGGACAGATCCAGATTAAGTTGCTAAAACAAAAGGGGGGAACATGGCCAGGGCTCCTGCGGGAGGCAGCCGTAAGGAATCTTGGACAAAAACATTCATTTTTATTTGGATATAGATGGTATGGTGTCAAGTTCTGACTCTTAGCTTATTGAAACGCTACTTGGAGTAATGTTTTGGTAGTTTATTGTCATTTTTTTTCAATTATACTCTCATTAATATTAATTATTATTCATTACTATTAATTATGAATAAATATTAATAAACTCAAATATTACTAATATTAATAATCATTAATTATTAATTAATATAAATTATAAATTAGTTATTAATTAATATAAAGTTAAAAAATAATTATTAATTAATATAAATTAAAAATTAATTTTAACTAATTTTAATTATACATCATACATTAATATGACAAGGGCTAAAAATCTTATTCGGTAAGAGCGATGATAAAGATGGAAAGTCTTACCCCGGTAAGTGAGGGTGACGACTCTTACCCGGGTAAGCGCTTAATAGGTAAATTGTTGCATATGATACGTTTTGATGTACTATATAATAAAATAAACTACAGTATTAACTTCTAATGTTAAGCACTTACCGGATAAATATTTAGGTAAACGACCCCTTACTGTCACTTGATAACAATCATCTATATCAGTGTTAATCGTTTTTCGATGCTTTGCATATTTATTTCGTATGGCATGAAATAACGTTAATTTTAGTTAAATAGAAACAAAACGTATACCTTTTTTTGTTTGTTTGAAGAATTATGATTGCAAATTAATAATCAAAAGGTGATGATGGATTGATGAATGTTTGAAAAGGCAGCGAACAGAATAACCGCATCAGCGCCACCTCCATCTCCATCTCCACCTCCACCTCCACCTCCGCCATCCTCCCTTCCATGAATCCATTCTCCATTTCATCCCCTTCCCTCCTTTCCAACGTAATTAATAAATCTAAATGCTATTTAATGCACCCAAATCTCAGCAGCTTTTGTTAATTTTCAATTATTCTTTAAAAAGAAAACCCCATTCAATGCTAATCCTTTGATCAATTTCATGCACCAACACACTCGCAGATCCCTTCTCCAATAACCTGCCAAATTTCTGCTTGTTTTTTCCTGTTGATGTTCATCCAAACGAGGGTTAGGCTTCTTTTGCATTCTATTCCGTTAAATTCTAGTTATTGCATGTCGATTATCATTTCTCATGAATTGGGTTTCGGTTATTTGAATAAATATATATATATATATATATATATATATATATATTGATTATTTTCTTCAGTGTTAGAATGCGTTTTCTTTAATCAGCTTTTGGGTGATTCTTGTATTTCAATCTCAACCCTAATTAAGTGGGTTTAATTTCTTTGTTTGAATCAAGAAATGAAAGAAAGCTAGCTTGTTTATTAGTCTGTTCTTAATTTTCATAGTTGACGTTACTTTCTTTTAAGAAATAAATGATCATCGTTCTTGAAGAATGAGCGCAGAAAGGAAACATGTGAAGGATGATTTCTTGAATTTACATTTCTCGAATTTGTCAAAAGTCACATCTTTTTAAGAACTGTAGATTTCTTTTACTCAAAGTCATGAGGAACTCTTGGACTTGCATTAGTATCCCCAAATGTATTTTATGTTACTTATTGCAATTTCAAATGCTACAAGTGGTTTGTTTTTTGTGTACTTTTTCTTGAAGTAAATGTGTTTGGTTGAATCACTGGAACTTACTATTGTGATGGATAACCCGAAACATTCATCTGTTAGTGTGTGATTCTTGAATTCTGATCGGAAGTACCATGTTCTCCTTTTCATTTCTTGCAGTTGATATTGATTGTTGATCCCTATCTTCTATTACGTTTTATGCAGTGAGAGATGGTTGCTTTTGGGAAAAAGTTGAAGGACAGACAAATCGAAGAATGGCAAGGGTACATTGCCATTTTCCATGAAAAGATCTCTCATTTCTTTCCATTTTCTAGGATAAATTCGAAGCATATATATATATATATATATACACACACAATTGTTCACTTCTAATGGTTGTAAATACAGTTTGTTAATTAGATATCACAAAGATTTAACTGTATGCATTCTGTGTTATATGGTAATACATTTATCAGATATTACATCAATTACAAGCTCATGAAGAAAAGAGTAAAACAATATGCTCGCCAGATTGAAATGGGAGATCTTGAACGCAGATACGTTCTCAAAGACTTCTCAAGAATGCTTGATAGCCAGGTATGATTATTCGGTTAATTTATGCAAATAATTCTTTTTCTTCCAATTTTGTTGTAACACCCCTCATAATCAAAAGGAGGAGACTAGCCCAATAACTTTCGAATCAACTTAAAACCATGGTCGAAGCTGGTAAAGAACTCACAAATCTAATTTTCTATCAATGTGGGATGGGTTGTTAACGTTTATGGTATTCGGTATGTAATTGATGGATGCAGATTGAAAAGATTGTTCTTTTCTTATTGGAGCAACAAGGGCTTCTTGCAAGCAGGATAGCAAACCTTGGAGAAGAACAAGATCTGCTACAGACCGAGCCTGATTTACCAAAAATAGCCTGTTTACGAGAATCCTATAGAGACATTGGAAGAGATCTACTAAAGCTTCTGTTTTTCGTTGAAATAAATGCAATTGGACTTCGAAAGATTCTTAAGAAGTTTGATAAACGTCTCGGCTACAGATTTACCGACTACTACGTTAAGACTCGAGCGAACCATCCTTATTCCCAGCTTCAGCAAGTGTTCAAGCATGTGGTAAATGGCCTGGATCCATGCTATCAAAGGGTTGTTTTGAAATTTTATTAGATTGTGAACGAAATCTACCGAAACTTGCAGGGTTTAGGGGCAGTGGTAGGAGCCATATCTCGAAATCTAGCAGAACTTGAGGATCGTCGAGGGAGTTTTTTATCCATCTATGATCAACCTACTCGTCCTCTCCAGGTTCCCCGTTTTCCACATTTTTGAATATTTCAATCTTGTACAAATTTAAGAAAAATGAAACCAAGAACGAGACCATATTCTGCTGGTTCACTACAAGCAAATTGGTTTTATAAGACGTCAATAATATCTAAATGTTCTAATGGATTGTTATATAAGACTTCATATTCTGCTGGTTCACTATAAACTTACGCCTTATAAAGTAGCTTGTTAGGACATTTAGACATATTTGGCATACTCTAAAGCCAATTTTGTTACTCAGATCCAGTCTGTCCATGTGAGTATCATCATATGCTTATTTGTAAATCCCGTTTGCAGGATCCTGTGATCGATTCCATAAAAGCAGCAGTAGACAGATTATCTTACTCAACAAATTTCCTTACGTTTTTAGCACAACATGCTCTTATCATGCACGAAGAACTACCAACGCCTACAGAAGAACCTGTCGATGATCAAAGATACCATTTTATGTCGCTTTTCTTGAACTTGGTGAATACGTTTCTTTATATGGTGAATACATACATTATTGTTCCAACAGCAGATGACTACTCCATGAGCCTAGGAGCTGCAGCAACTGTTTGTGGGGTTGTGATTGGTGCAATGGCTGGTGCCCAAATCTTTTCTTCCATTTATTTTAGCGCATGGTCTAACAAATCGTACTTCCAACCATTAGTCTTTAGCAGCATTGTTCTTCTTGTGGGCAATGTCATGTATGCGTTGGCCTATGATTGGAACTCCATAACAGTGCTTTTACTCGGACGCTTATTTTGTGGGTACGCTCCCTTTTTCCCTAGAAATAGAAATCAAATGATCTCCAAATTCATCACTCCCTTTTGTTTTATAGCTTTTGAAACCAGAATGTTCACTTATGTAATTCAATGTGGTTACGATCAGAATCGTTAGGATCTTTAAACACGTTAGTCTATTTGGAAGTTAATAGCCCATTTAACCTCAACAGGAGACTGAGATAGGTGGATGAAAGAATTGTGGAAGGTTCTAGAGTTTTAACTTGACATGGTTAATTTAGTAATTTGCCAAACTAGTTACATCTTCTCGATTTTTGTTTCATCAACTTTGGTATGGATAGAAAAAATTGCATTTTTGTCCAACTCAGGTCCTGCCATGTTCCATTCTAATGTCACGTCAAACGTGGGACAATAAACTTTTTTTACTGTTCAATCCCATGTACCCGTTCGAGAATGCGAAATGGTTGTAATATTTTCTCAAAATGATGTTTTCGTTGCAGACTGGGGTCTGCTAGAGCAGTGAACCGGCGATATATCAGTGATTGCGTACCTCTGAAGATCCGGATGCAGGCTTCAGCTGGTTTTGTGAGTGCGAGTGCTCTTGGAATGGCTTGTGGCCCAGCACTTGCTGGTTTACTACAAGTGGAATTCAAGATTTACATGATCACTGTTAACCAAAACACACTACCTGGTTGGGTTATGGCTGTCGCATGGTTATTGTATTTGATATGGCTCTGGATTTCATTTAGGGAACCTGCCCGTCCGTTTCTCGAGGATGATGACCGTGAATATAGTGCAGGTATATACGCCCAATTCCAGTTCTTCTTCTTGAACCCCAAACATGTCTAAATGTCCTAATAAACTAGGATTTGAGTTTATAAAACCAAATAATTGTGCGTCTTATGTAAAGGTTTTATAATAAGTTGATATGACGCTTTTGTATTAATTTTTTATATATATTTGAGAAAATGTCAAAGAAATGTGTTGTTAGGATGCTCAAATACATCCTATTGTAACACTTTTTTATATCAAGCACAATTGTTTCGTCTTATATAACACAAGTCCTATAAAGTCGATTTTGTTGTAGCGAATGGACTTTAATGTCCACTTATTTTTGACGGGGTTGGATCTTTACTACAGGTCGAACGGAGGGTGATGCTCTTGAAAAAGGTCCAACACAACCACTACTTTTAGGTTCAGAGGCACATCAAGATGAGGAAAACGATGATCAAGAATGCGATGGGAGCGAAGAACCTTCAGAAGACTCACGTGCACCCGTTAATTCCATAGGAGCAGCATATAAGTTACTCACACCTTCCGTAAAGGTTTGTTCTTTATACAAATTTCTTGACCATATATATATATATGTGTGTGTGTGTGTTTATTGTTAAACATAGTAAGAGATCATTTCCTCAAAGATTTTTCATGAACTTCAAGAAACATGATACACCTTGACCAAGGGTTGAGAATTGGTCTTACGGGTCTCACGAAAAACCTTTGGTCTCACATGATCCCAAGTCTATATATATATATATATATATCAAAGTTAAAGTTAAACACCATATATATTGTTGTAACAACTTGTTCCACATGGATGGAAAATGGGATTTATGAGCTCCTTATAAGCCTTAAATTGTGGGATACGAAGCTATAGGGTCAGCCTTTAGGGGCGTTACGTACATGGTGATTTGTTGATGAATTTTGACAAGATATATATACATATATTAATTATGATCAGGTTCAACTGTTGATATATTTCATGTTGAAGTATGCAATGGAGATATTGTTGGCAGAATCTAGTGTGATCACTTCATACTACTTCAATTGGACAACCGGTAAAGTTTCAATATTTCTTGTGTGCCTCGGCCTAACTGTTCTTCCCGTAAACATGATTGTCGGAAGCAATATCAGCAACATGTTCGAAGACAGGTACATTTCATGGCCTACTATACCCTTCAATTACTTACTTCCAGTTCATGGAAACACTATACCAGTTAAAACGACGTCAAATATGTCTAAATGTCCAAATAAAAAAGCTAATATAATACTTTTCAAAAGCGTCTAAACTTTTTTGTTAGACTGCCCAAATACATTTTTATAGAGCAATTGGTTAGACCTATATGACGGTCCATTATGACACTAGACATATTTGACATCCTATAAAGCCAATTTTGTTGTTGACATTTCTGACTCTGAATAGCATATAGTAGGAAACCGATGCAAATCGTCTAACCTTATTTGTGTTTCAGACAAATTTTACTAGCTTCCGAAATCATGGTTTGTTTGGGGATTATCGCGAATTTTCACATTATAGTTCCTTATACCGTGACTCAGTACGTAACATCAGGACTCATAATGTTCGTTTCTGCTGAAGTTTTAGAAGGTACATCGATCTTTTGAAGTCGAATTTGTCTTAAAACATGTTAAAGATTGTTTCTTAATGAGTAATCCTATATCCTTGATTCAGGTGTGAATCTGTCGCTTCTCTCACGTGTTATGTCATCACGTCTATCTCGTGGGACGTTTAACGGTGGACTACTGTCGACTGAAGCTGGAACAATCGCTCGAGTGATCGCAGATGCCACCATAACGTTAGGAGGGTATGCGGGTCAGAATAGACTCTTGAATGTTACTTTACTACCGGCACTCGCGATCTGCATATTGGCGATCATCGGCACATGTTTGACCTACAACACTCAATACTGATGATCATTTGAATCATACATAGAGGTCCAAATCTTTAAAATGCAACGAGTCTTAGATGTGGAAATATATAGATTTTCTTCTTGTTTGGTTTATTTATTAATTAGCTGATATAAATATAAATATATATATTTGTTGTATATTTGTTTGGCATATTATTGTTCATAATCAACTGAATTGTTTAATATTATGTATTATAATGAAATCATTTTTGGCTTGTAGTATCACATTTCTTGGATTTTCTTGAGAATTATCGGATCTAACACAAACATATGGATATGTTTTTGGTGAACAACATTCAAACATAAAAAACCAGGAAATCTTTGTACTTTTGGATTTTGCCAAACTTAAAACCGTCAACGTTCTTGGATTTCATCTCCATAAAAACCCTATTCATCGATGCATCTTCGTGTTGTGCCCTCACACACACATACACACACTGAACATGGGTTCCTCAAGGTGGTCGGAAAAGATGGCTGCTCATCTCTCTGCACTGCTTCTCCTTCATGGCTTTTGCTTCGCCCACCAAGGTATATATATATATATATACATATAATATCTTACCAAATTTCATTCTTTAAAAACGTAAAGATGTTTGATTTTTTAATGAATTGGTTTCTGACTCAAAGATTCAGGCTTTACTTTCATGCACCAAGCAACAGTAGCCCCGATGGTGGCATACTACGATTACATTATCGTCGGAGGAGGCACCGCCGGCTGCCCATTAGCCGCCACTCTTTCTCAAACCTCCACCGTACTCCTCCTCGAACGCGGCGGCTCTCCATTCGGCAACCCTAACATCACCCACTTATCTGCATTTGGAGCCGCCCTCTCCGACCTCTCCCACAAATCCCCTTCTCAACGCTTTGTCTCTGAGGACGGCGTCATTAACGCCAGGGCCCGCGTGCTCGGTGGCGGTAGTTCCCTGAACGCCGGATTTTACTCACGTGCCGGTTCGGAATACATAACCAGCGCCGGTTGGGATGCCAAGTTGGTCAACGAATCTTACCGGTGGGTTGAACGGGCGGTGGCGTTTCAGCCGCCGTTGAGACAGTGGCAGTCGGCGGTGAGAAATAGTTTGGTGGAGATCGGAATACGGCCGTATAATGGCTTCACGCTTGACCACTTGTACGGTACAAAAGTTGGTGGCACCATTTTTGATGGATATGGGCATAGGCATTCATCTGCTGACTTGCTTCATCATGCAAACCCTGATGGTCTCACTGTTTTACTTCATGCACCTGTTCAAAAAATATTATTTACAACGGAGGGTAAGAATCTTGTTATATAATATGCATTAAAGAGTTGTACATTCATGACCTTTTTGGTAATTTTGCATGTAGGGAAACCAAAGCCAACTGCAAATGGGGTGATCTTTACAGATGCAAGTGGGCTGAGCCATTGGGCTTATTTAACGAGAGGGCTTTATAATGAAGTCATAGTTTGTTCTGGTTCATTAGGAAGCCCACAACTTTTAATGTTAAGTGGGCTAGGCCCAGAGAAACACTTGGAGGCCCATAACATATCAGTGGTCTTGGACCAACCCTTGGTGGGCCAAGGGATGTCCGATAATCCGATGAATGCCGTTTTTGTTCCTTCTCCTAGACCCGTTGAGGTGTCACTCATCCAAGTAGTTGGTATCACTCACAATGGAAGCTATATTGAGGGTGCGAGTGGTGAAAACTTTGCTAGCGAGACTCAAAGCCCTCAAGATTTTGGGATGTTTTCTCCGAAGGTATGCATTCTTTCTTGTGAAACATATAATAAGCCAAATTGAAGCACATCAGTATCATATCGGGCATATTAGAGCCCGTAATTGTCACATCGGGGTCTAACAAAGAAATGAATTATGTAGATTAATGCAATTTCATTTAATATTTTCAGATCGGACAACTTTCAACTGTGCCACCAAAACAAAGAACAGAAGAAGCATTGAACAGAGCAATAGAGGCAATGAGGTTCCTCCCACGAAGCGCTTTCGTGGGTGGATTTATCTTGGAGAAGATTATGGGCCCGCTCTCACGGGGTCATCTTGAGCTTCGGTCTTTGAATCCAAATGACAATCCTACAGTCACGTTTAATTATTTTAAAGATCCTAGTGACCTAGAAAGATGTGTTCAAGGGATCAAAATCATCGAGAAAGTAATAGAATCAAAATCATTTTCAAGATTTCGGTACAATTACCTCCCAATCGCTACTCTTCTTAACATGACGGCTAATGCACCTGTTAATCTGTTGCCTAAACATGCAAATGCATCAAGGTCGTTAGAACAGTTTTGTAAAGACACGGTAATGACCATATGGCATTATCACGGCGGATGTCAAGTTAATAAAGTGGTAGATCGTGATTATAAGGTTATTGGTGTCGATGCTCTCAGGGTCATCGATGGATCAACTTTTGATTATTCTCCAGGAACTAATCCTCAAGCTACCGTGATGATGCTTGGAAGGTACATGGGCATGAAGATATTGTACGAGAGACCTGGACAGAATGGAACAGTATTTTCTAAACATACAAAAACCTGATTTATTGTTAGAAACACATTATTTACATTAATTTTTTTAGCGATTAGTTTAGGGTCTTTGTAAATATTTGCAACCATACTAAACAAGTTTTTGTATATTAGTTTGAAAAATGTTTATTGTTTATTTTTTGTAAATGATCCAGAGTAAGTTATTTATGCATACACAAGATTGGGTCTTAGCATATGTACAACATGTTCAGAACACAAGTCCCGCGGAGGGCGCGGGGACAAGTACTAAATAGACCAAAACAACTATTTGAAAGTCGATATGTATTTATAGTAGCTCTTGTGTCTTTTAAAAGTAGTATTAATCATGTTGCAACATTTTTAAAGATGATTCTTGATACATACAAGTAGATTTTTGCGTTTTATAGCTTGTAATCTAAATTATTGAAGCTTTTTCATAATAACCTAATTATTTTGAACTAAAACTCCGCATTTATGTATTGAAAATTGTGTTACCAACGATTCTTAATGGCATCTCCTACCATCTGCTTTATACATCTTTGAAGAACATTCTAAATGTTAATATCATGCTCCAAACAGAATCTAACGCTTTTCTTTAAATGAAGGAGCTTTAGCTTTCATGGAGGATAATATCCATGGCATAAACCTTAGGAACCCATGGCATAGGCATATGCTATTTCTTCAGTGGTTTATACGGTGAAAGAAACACATATAAACAAGCTATAAGTGTGCTAGTTCTTAATGCTCATAACACGAATGCTACCTTTTGTGATCCATTAAGCAAATCAGTTACAGGGTTCCTCTCCTTCATGGCAGTTATATACTTGGAGTTACATAAAGAACAATCTTGATATTGAATCAAGAAGTTTTGGCGGCTCCGGCAAAGAGTTAACTGCCAAAGGAGAGTTGCCCTTTGACTACTTTGTTTACAATCAATAATAGTTGTTCATATCGAGCATGTACAGTTGTATATCGTGCAAAGTCAAAGGTATGATGAAGAAAAATGTCTTTTATGTGTTGCACCCTCTTTTGTATATGGTGTATAGTTGCCCCATGATATAGACACTTCCTTATTGTCTTATATTTTTGGAGTAGATGTATAAAATATGCCAACATTGTGATCGGAAATCATATTTAGGATTATAGCTAGAAGTTTATAGCTTGTTGGGACCAATGATCTCAAAATCCCCGATTTTTTATTACATTTTTGAGGTAGATATACAAAATACACAAACATTATATTGTAAATCATTGTTTGGAGTTCAGCCAGAAATTTGTGGCTCGGATATACAAAATACACAAACATTCCGAAGTAACGTACGAGGCTATTTTGCCGAGTTCCTTAGAGAGAGTTGCATCGCGCCCCTAGGTGGCTTTTTAAGTCCGCCATAAAATACCAGGGCTCAACTCTGGACAAAATACACAAACATTATATTGAAAATGGAAATCAGTATTAAAATTCTAACTAAAAATTCGTACCGTATCAATAATATTAAAGCAAGATTTTTAATTAATAGATTAGGCTTTTTATATGAGTTTTGAGTAGCTTCCTATTATTTTAACTTTCTCTTTAAAATAATTTATTAGTTATTATCTACAATACAAATAGTTGTTCTATGGATTTAATGGTTTAAAGGAGAAATAAGGAAAAAATTAGAAGGCTCATAACTTTTAAGTGTGGGGAAAGCAAGTGATACACGTGCTAATCGTGTGCATGTTTCACGTGGACCACGCTTTTGTTCTAAAACTCGTCAATTTTTATTAGAGGTGTTTGTGGGTTATACTTACCGGTTTGAACCAATTTCAATAATTTAATTTAATATTTATAGTTTGAAAAATCTTGATCCAACATAATTCGATCTAAATTAAAGTACAAACTAACACAATCTAAACTGTACGAGTTGGTCGAGTTGATAATTTGGTATATCAAAATATTCTTATAACCTTAAATATGTTGTTTTTTCTACTCGTAATTCTTTTTTCATCATCAATCATTTGGTACAGCTTATCCATATTCTTTAAATCTTAAATACATCACATTCAACTACGTTTCTTAATTGGCATATGTGTGTGTTCACATTTACTGAACATATATACGGAGTTATATATAGATGGATAATAGATTAAAAATATATGTATATGAAAAGGGTATTTGATGATATATATAATTGTCTAATGTACATATTAAATACAAAAAATAAAATGATATCGGGTTAATCGATTTGGGTTGGGTTCAAATAGTCACTGTAACCCAATTCCAATCCATTACCTACGATTTAAATATTTTACAACTTAATTAGACACCGAATTGTTTGAAGTTGGATAGGATTAGTTGATGGGGTTGAATTTTTGAGCAACCCTAATCTTAGCAAAATCGTACATATAAAAATAATATTTTTGTAATTTTAATCAAATTAACTATTTAATATACTTTTTTAACAAAGATAAAAAAATGCCAATTATGGTTGGGTTCCGGCAAAAATTAAAACTATGATGAGAAAGATAAAAAATGATTCACACCCTTAGATTGAAGATCAAAACTAAGGTGGTGCATCAGATCAATTCCCATGATAAACGTAATTCATGGAGTAGGGATGAGATTAAAAATGATCAAATGTCAAATCTTTTTTTACATTTCTCACATTAACTCATATTTTTTCACGATTCGTTGTCTTACAAAATATATTAATTATCTTAATTGTTATTAATATATAATTTATGATTCATTATTTATAAATAACATTACTTATGGTTATAAATTTTGATTTTTACTAGTAAGTTTTTTATATTATGTTCTTTTTAACAAACATTATAAATATTTGTTTAATGGTTACTGAATTTAACCTAAAAACTCAATAGAACAATCTCGTACTTTAGTGTGACACAACATGTACAGTAGGGTCTTGATCCACATGCTTTGGATAGCAGGAGCGTGGATTTGGACAATATGTTTTGTCTAAGCACCAAAGATAGTTTACCACCGATTGCAAATTGTATGGTTGCAAAATAAATCTGGGACAGGTTCTATCAATAGTGAGACATCATCACTGATTTGTGAGACTCGACATCAGAAATTTTAGGCTTTCGAGACCTGGGGTAATATTTCCTCACATTGGCTGAAACAAGATCTACAAGCATCCATTTGGGCCACTTGTTTCCTAATTTGGAGTCCTCGTACTAGCATAAACGTAAAACAAACACATTGTTTCGTCAAGATTCAAGTCTGAGTTTTCAAGTGGGTATTGAAACGTCTTATAAAATGATCCATTTTTATAGGATTACGGATTGAAAAACCAATTATACGTATTCCCAACAAATTAAGTAAGCAGAGTGTTTGCATTTTCAATTTACACTTTCTATTAATAGGGCTTACCGTGAACTAAGATTACTTCCTTGGCTTTGATTTTTTTTTTTTTTTTTTTTTGTATGTTTCCATCTTTTTACTGTATTTTACGGTGTTAATTGGTGTATTTTTTTAATACTCTTTACTTTTATTTAATACTATTTTTAATTTTTATATTTAATTTTGGATAAAATTGTGTTTTTTTAAACTTCATAAGACGTACGACTTTGTAATAGAATATGATTTAGTATGAAAAAAAGGTATAATATTGAAAGAAAATCGTAAAAGATTGGGTGGAATGTTTGACTTTTCCAATCACGAGTCATGAATGTACCCCAACATTCATGGTTGGTGAGAAATAAAATAAATAAATAAAAACTAAATAAATATATGTTTTTTGCTCACTATTACCCTTCATTCTTCTCGTTATTACAATACTACCACTCCCATTTAACTTTATTGCTCCAAGTCAAGGCATGGAAATATATAAATATAAAATTATTAGAGATGCATAAATAAGGTAGGTAACAAACTTTTTATATATTCGTAAGAAAAGACTTTTTTTTTTAAATAATGAAATTGTCATAACTTTAATAATTAATATATATTTGTATGATATTTGAGTTGTATAGATTTAAGGTGAGAAGCGTATTTATTTAATATATTTAATATATATTTGTATGATTTTTTTTCATTTAATATTAAGATTTAAAATATCGATTAACATATATTTGTTTTATAACATGTTTTGTTTTAATTTATATGTATTTATTTTACAATGTGAATTTTTTTAATTTGTTTGTGAAATAAACATATTGTAAAATAATATATGTTCATCAATACGTTAAATGTTAGTCTTAGATTAGAAAAAAATTCATGTGAAACAATACCTTAATTAGGATTAAAAAATTTCAGGGTTACCATAATATATGGAGTTCTCAAATGATTAAGCCCATATATAATGTTTATGTTGTTCTAAAAAGTTCTATTTTTACGGTCAAAATTCAAATTCGGGTGTTTTCCGGTTTGTAAACTCTATGATTTTGATACCTTATTAAAGATGTACAATTATTTATAGGGCTGGGTTTCGGTGAGAATTGAAGTTATGATGAGAAGCGTAAGAAGACATCTCATCTATGTATCAATCATAATTGAATGTCAATATCAATGAGGTGCATCGAATCAATTCTTTTAAAGTGTAATTCATGAATCATCATGAGATTAAAGTGATTAAAATTCAGATCCCTTCTCACACTTCTCACCATAACCTCGTTTCTCACACGATTCTTCACCAATATTTACAACTATACAAGATTGTTTTCCGTGTTAAATGGAGATAACAAAAGGCTACTTTATTGTTTTTGATATTTTTAATTGATTTAGTATATAGTTAACAATAAAATAATTGTAATTGGTATATTTTTAAAAGGTTATATAAAGTCATATATATACAATAATTCAGTTGGAAAACCTTTACATAATTATTTCTCTTTTCTTAAAAGTTATAATTAAATTGAAACACACAATTGTACATGAAGCCATTCAACAATGTTGGGATGTCGTTAAATATCTCCTCAACATAATAATATCTCTCTCTCTCACACACACACACACATATATATATATATATATATATATATATTGAACAGTTCAAATGAGAAGACTTATGATTTATAAAAATGTTACAATAG